ATGCCTGTACACGGCAGTCCCACCACCCATCCCCAAACCCAACAACCAGAGAACCCTGTCTCTCTGTCTTGTTAACCCTCGGCGCGCATGCGCAGCGAGGGTTACGGTAGTGTCCCGTATGTCTGTCAGTCAGCCTGTCTGTTACCACGTTTTCTGCCACCGCGCGCACGAAATCAGGTAAATAGCGATATGATCGGGTTCAGTGCTACACTGGGCTGATTTTTAAAAAGACGATTTTCGTAAAACTACTGTGTTTAGTTATGGCGTGAAAACCAAGTGAACAAGCCAATATGTAAATTAGCACAGGCTTACCTCGACCGCGTCCGTTCGCTCTGTGTGTCTTGAAGGCACAACAAGTCACAACGAAGGGCATGTATCGACTCCCGCATGCTATTTACTACTGTAGCTAGCCCGTGCCAGACTCTCCGCGAGCTACTAGCGGGATACCACGAGTAAAGGCATAAAAAGCCCAGCCCATCAATTAGTGTTACCGCACATGCGCAGTTCGCCGAGGGTTTGCACTTTAGTGCTTTTCATTTTGTCTGTCATGCACCAGTCATCAGGGGAGCTCCTCTGCAGATCATTGTGTAGGTCACAGGTTTCGGTCCCATGGGCCATATATACCTTCTTCCAACCACTGCATGGAGTAGTGGTAACCTAATTATTGCGTGGGCTGGCTGGGCATGCTGGTGGTTTTTCACTACAATTATAGGGATGGCAAAGGGGATTTTTTACTCAGAATAATATGTGTGTGTGTGTGTGTGTGTGTTAGGTATGGATGATAAAGCCAGGGAGGGAATTTGTGAAGGGGAACAGGGGGTTTAGAATTTGGGAAGGCTTTTGTTGGCGTCACACAACAGTCCTCATGTATCAGATATTGATGTTTACCTACTTCAGCACAACCAGGCCAGCACAACTCCAAACACCCCGCCAGCATACGCATTAAGCCCAATTTCTCTTCCAATTATGACGTCAGAGAATGCGATGGAATTGAAGATCTGGGAAGGGCCCATGAAGGAAACGCTGTGCGCACCGCACGCGTAATTTGGCCGGTTGCGGAACAGAACAGAACAGATTGTCCGGATGGGCGGTTGAAGAATGAAACGAGACTAGTGTATAATTATGGTTCATGCCGAATAATTACCCTCGGCGCGCATGCGCAGCGAGGTTGGGTCTGTCTGTCTGTTACTCTACATCTCACTTCTCGAGTGTTCGTTCGTTTCACAAAGGGTACGACCTACTTAACGGGCAATGAAGGTCAGAAATTTCGAACGGCTTTCTTTGATGCTGCGTTGCAAAGCTAGAGCGCTTCCAGCATTGTAAGGCTAACGGTACAGTCGGCCATTTTTTTATCGCTGAGGAAAAAGCGCATGCGGTTACTACATGCTAATAATAACACTGTAACTAAACATAGAAACCTAGCATAAGAAACCTGGGAAAATCTCCTTTCCTTTTAGCGCACGCAAGCCTTGCAAGGACTTCTATAAAATGCCTGAGTTTATCAACCTACCATGAAAACGTATTACAAGAATGTCCAGAAATTTACTCAAAAATCCCTGGAGAGCCGCTAGTACTCGGATGCCGATGGTTAATAAGCGAAATGCATCAGAAAGTTTTGTTGTCCGGAGGCTAGTAAGTCCTGAAGAAATTCGCGAAGTGATGTCCGCACGGGTGGCGGCTGGAGGTTGGAGACCCGGGGCGCTGGACCATGTGAGCTTCTTCGCGGCTGACGAAACGGGGCATTTCGTAGGCGAGTTGGACGGCCGGCCCATAAGTTGCATGTCCGTTGTCAAATACGCTAGCAATTTTGCATTTCTTGGTAACTACATCGTGGACGAGCCATACCGAGGCAGCGGATATGGATTTCACACATGGAAAACCGCTCTTTCCTCGATAAATGAGACTTGCAATGCTGGAGGTGACGCAGTTATAGAAAAAGTGAGCATGTACGAAACTGTAGGGTTGAAACCATACTGGTGTGAGCAACGATACGACTTAGTCGCATCTGCAGTAGTTAAGGTCTACAAAGAGTTAAAGCCTCCACAAGGCGTCGAAATTCATCCTCCTTCCCAAACTACATTTCCTGCAATACTTGAGTATGACACCAATGTTCATGTTTATCCACGTCATTCATTCCTGAAGGAGTGGGTTTTTGCTCCCAATTGCCATGCTTCAGTTGCCCTCAGCCATCAAGGAGAAGTTCTTGGCTATTCTGTTGCACGCACAACATTGAGGGAAGAAGAGGGATGGAGAATTGGTCCAGTGTTTGCCAACAATTCTCAACTTGCTCGTTGCCTCTACCGTGATTTGTGTGAGAAAGTTTCAGCTGAAAATCCACAGGCAATTGTAGCTGTTGATGTTCCATATGGCAAACAATTTTCTCAAGATACTGTGAAAATAGTAAAGGCTGGACAACCATCATTCAAATGTGTTCGCATATACAAAGATGGAATACCAGAAGGAATGCCACTACATAAAATTTTTGCAATAACTGCTATTGAAATTGGTTAATTGGATTATAGCCGGCATTGTTAATAGTTGTTGTATAGCGATAATAATAATTGTTGCAAGTGATCATTATAATCTATACTCTCCTGATAGGTTTCAAAGATCTAGGCTTTAGCTATAAGCCAGCAAACACAAATGAAAATTTACATATATTTTGAATCATTACGATGGTGACACTGTAGGATTGAAATTTTATGGGAAAATCCTGCTTTTAGACGTGCACGTGCAAGTAAACGCTCCTTCACAGTGATGCATCCAACACTTTATTACAGACCCCATCTTATATTCATACTCTAAATCAGTTGTGGTTTGATTCCGAAATTATCTTCTGTGTTGGATGGAGAAGTCGTTAAACAGTAAGTGTTATAATATATACCACATTCTGTGTCTCTAAACATATGAAATGTATACAGTATACAAAGAGGGGAGATGTGGGAGGGTAAGAAGCGAGACACATTTGGAATCATAATTCACTAAGGTTATGAAAACCAGCTAGGTTTAGAGTGAGCATCCAAAAAGTGTTATGAAACCATGCATGCACGATGGAGAGGCAAGGTGCTTAACATAAAATGTACATATATACCTTGTCCTTTAATAATAGGCCTCAGTTTTGTATTACATGATTAGCCGCAGTCCCACGCTTTATTCATTTTGAGTTGGCTCAGTAATTACCCTCGGCGTCCATGCGCAGCGAGGGTACAGTAGTTGGGTCTATGTGTCTGTCTGTCTGTGTGTCTGTCTGTTACTCTACATCTCACTTCTCGAGTGTTTGTTCGTCTCACAAAGGATATGACCTACTTAACGGGCCACAATGCGCCGAGGGTTTGCACTTCCAGTGCTTTTCATTAAACAATGAAGGGTAGCTATTCATGCCACAGAGGCAGACAGTCAGGAGTCAGAATGTGTACAGCAGCAACAGGACATCCTGCTAGAAGCAAACCTCTCCTTACATTGAAGCTCTTCTCATACAATACCCATCCCCAAAGGTCCCAGAAGCCTTTTAACTAAACTTTGTCAAGGAAATGTTTGAGGAGTTATACTAGCAATATTGACACTGAAGCCATCAAGAATAGACCGCAGCATCCTGGGTCATTCACAAATGGGACTAATACAGCAGGATGTACTAACCTGCTGCACAAAACAGTGTCTCCAGCAACACTTCAGATTTTCAAAAAATCAAAATAAAAAAAATGGGTTATTCATCTAAGATAACAACGTTCATTTCAGCAAGTACAGGAATGAGCATAAGTTCGGCTTTGGAATTCAGGTTGATACATTTGTGACTGCCCGACTTCCATTGTATACGACCAAGACGTCCAATTGGCCGAGAGACACAACTCTAATGGTTTTATCATCCTACTATTACTAGAGGAATGCAACACATTGTTTGGTGAGCGAGCGTGAGCAGGTCAATATTTTGTCAATATTTACCATTGTCCAAAACAACAAATTCATCTTGTGAGTAAAAGTGGCGACAATGATATAGGGCTTGTGTGGAGGAAAATTATTACACGAGCAAGAAATGGTCAGTTTGAAGATGTGGCCGTCATCCATTCTACTACAGCACCATGTTCACTATAGAGGTCATCCCTGTCTTGTCTCCTTGCGTTTTATACCATCTCTATATTCACCATTTTTTCAATTCGAAGAATTTTTTGTGTATTTGTTTCCTTTCTTTTATATGGCATGCACATGTAATATAATATTTGGGGCATAATGCCCATATAAGAAGTATTGCCTCAGACTGTTTGTCATTGTTCACATGTTTCTAAGTAAATAAAAGTGTATTGTTAGATGACCCACCATAAGCACAAACATGATTTCCAAGTTTTTGCCTGAGGCTGTTTGTTGTTGTTTACACACTTGTATATTTGATACCAATGATGGGTTGCATATGTGTACAAAGTTTTCTTTTCCTAGTCAGTACACTTTATTTGTCCCTATCATAATGTATGGAATGGGGCTATTATTAATTTGTTGTTTGCAAACAAAATATGCTCTTGCACGACCTGTCATGGATTCCAATCTCTATATTATATGCAAAGTTTCATATTTGTATCTTTCCTGGTTTTTGACGATACGGATTAGACTGATGTGTCAAGAGTGGGATCTGATTGAAAAAATGAGAGTGAAACGCAAATCTAAAATGTATGGGCATAAATACACCTTACACCTTCCCACCGTCACTGTGCACCAGTAGTAGTAGTCAGCTGCTATAATTGACAAGTAGTTAGCTACAAAGCTACAGCCCTCTTTCTCTTCTTTCCGTCTTCAGTTAGCGTGAACTATTTGGGTATTGCGATTGTAGGGATTCCCATCCTTGCATCCGAAATTTCCCCGTCAACCACGTAACCTGCGACTTTTCCGGTACCGCGCAGCAGCCATTTATAAAGAGGAGATCTTAGGCGTTGTTACTTTTATTAACAGACGATGTCACGACTCTTCCGCGGCGCACTAGGATTGCGAGGGAGCTGCGGGTCCCGTCAAAAACCGCCGTATCCGGCTTTCCCCCGTGTTCATGACGTGAAAGACAAGGTAAAACTTGATCAGTAAAGAAGATGACAGTGCTAAAATGTTTCATACCGCAGGTTTTCGACGAAACATGCCCAAACGTATGTACGCATACTTTTTTGCACGCGTGACCAGCTTTATGTCCGCCATTATGCTTTCTGCAGAAATACTGGCGTGTTCGCAGTAACGCCATTTTGACGCTGAAGAAGCAAGGTCTTCGCCCTTATCCGCATAAATTCCACCAAACTATGTCACTCTCTGAGTTCAGTGATAGGTACACGCACCTTTCAGAGGGAGAGCAGCATGTGGATGTTGTCAGTGTAGCTGGTGAGTGACATGCATCTGCTTTAAACTTTAGGCCCCCTCCCCGGTTTAGACGTAGATGGAGGATTGTGTTAGTTCAACCATAATATTGTATATTATATATACATCACTATAATTATAGCTAAGAACGGAAGTAAGAGGTCATTTAATAGCCAAGACACACAAATCAACATGATACTATCCCTATATCTTTGTCTGACCGTACTTCCCCTATAAGTCAATATAATATAGAACAACGATATAGGGATAGTGTCATGTTGATTTGTGTCTTAGCTGTGAACTTGTTCTTTCCTTTTTGTTTCTTTGAGCTATCCCTATAATATCGAAATAATTTTTTTCCCATTACTTTTTGTGAACAACTCTGACTACATATAGCTAGTAGCAACTTTACTCTGATGTCATGTGCATGGTGTTGACGATGAACTGATTCAAGTTTGGACTGCCTTGACAAAGCAAGCACCATAGCTACACTAGCTTTTGTAGAGACAAAAATGAATTTGGGTTGCTAAGCGGGGACACTGCACGCCACAAAGCAGTAAGGACTACAGAGCAAGCCAACAACCCGAAATCTACCGAAGGAACCGTGCTGATGGCATCGTTCAGTGTCTATCACCCGTGTAGGGACTTGCGACTATGAAGAAACGGTCGCTCGATCCCCGTGCACACCTCCACGGAACCTGGAGATGTTCAGTGACAAAATCAGCGCTGCAAATTGTTCCGGTAAGGAGATAGCGGGATTGAAGAAGAAGAGGAAGATGATGAAGAAAATGATGATGATGACAGAAAAATTGCGTATGAGCGAAATCTCGCGTGGAGAACTTGGAGCACATATCAAATACTTGGGTATATTATGTATAGCTAGATATTGGCGTTTGTCCCCAGATAACGCGAGATTTGACCCGTGCCATCCATATATAGCGTCTACCGACGCTCTAATAGGGATGGGCACCTAGCATCATGATGTATGGGCCTATAGGGAGTTATGCTCATCATGATCATCATCATCACAACTCAAAAATTAAGGCATGTAATTTTGTAGGAATATACCTATCGATAACATTGTGACATATTCGTTATTTGACTATGTTGTTTATTGTAAACAATAACAAATAGCCCCAGGCAATAGCTAATGAGGTCACATGTAACTAACAAAAATGCTAAGAGCTATGGGAATGAAAGTTTGTATACACAATGTATATAGTGACCACTATTCAGGCAATTTTTACTTCTTCACTCCTCAAACTTGCCAACGGTCCCACGCATTGACATAAAACCTGGCACATAATATGTGTGTAACATCATTTCCATGATGACTAAGAACACAATGTAGCTTCAGGCCAAAATATTTCTTCGCTCCACTTGCTAACCGTAGCACGCAAAATTGTTACGCATGCATGTTACATCATTTCCGTGATGACCACATATTTGTATATAAAAAACAACAGCCATTTTTCTCTACTGATAGGGGCTTGCCCCATTTGACAGTGGAAGTACATAAAAATGCAAGTAAATGAAACATTCTGCAAATTCAAAGAGTATAAAAAGAAGTGGAGACAAGATAGGGATGGGATACATGAAGCATGGTTAACGACAAGATTTGATCATGCTGACAACCGTGACCCCATCACAGAATTCCTATAGTGTATGGTTGCCTGGGTGGAAGTATTGAACATTCGCTGTTACAATATTATGTGAGGACCTATATAAAGTCATGTTGCTCAGTTTAACCAACACCGTTATAGAGTCCAAATTTTTTTAAAACGTAGCACACCAGGCAGCAACAATATTGATGGCGATGAGGTCGGGGGTGTCCGTTTGCCCACATCTCTTCATGCCATGCTCCATGTATCCCATCCCTATGATCTCGTCTCCCTTTCTTTATATACCACCCTTTTATGTATATATTTTTTATCAGAGAGTCGGTAGACTCCCTATATAGGGACGACACGGGTGAAATCTCACGTGATCCGCGTACAAAACGACTAAAATTCACAATGTATCCAGTAACACCGATCACTGAACGTTTTGTCGCGAACAGGGATCTGCTGTAATACGTACTATAGCCAGCCGCTGGTTTAGGGTCTCTGCCATGTTGGTAGTTAGCTATATAGCTCCATCAACAGAGTGAGGTGGTAAACCTCTGAATAGAACACAATAGCTTCATGCAGTTTATTGGATGCCACCCCGCAGCAGCGTAGTGGATCGTGTCTGTGTCAATCCATAGCTTAGTAGGGCATTGTCTTACATTACACAGGCTAGACTGCTATATAGAATGCCATCGGATATTTTATGTAAATACCGCAATTATGTCCTCGATTAGTTCTTTTTCTTCCAGAGTGAGCACCATTTCTGTAGCTAGTAAGATGTGTCACCTTATGGTTTAAAACATCCAGCTTCTTAGCCAACAAGATAATCCACGTTTGGATCACCCTCTTTCAACTCGACACCCACTATTTTATTTCCCCTGGTCCATCTAGAGCACAAGACATCACACATGCCGAACCATCCCTTTGCACTAGCTACACTGTATTCAACACGTTCATTTCTCAAACTGTCTCTGTCTGGAACAAATTGCATGTTTGAGACTACTTAAAGTCATAGCTGTAGCACACATGATCAAGAGCTCTGTTCAGTTGCGTTCATGTGTATCCAATATCTATTGGGCATAGATGCACTAATAAGGGAGAGTTAGAAGCTGTTATTTTCTAGGACGAATACAGAAGAAGAAAGGGGATAATGTGAATGTGTGCTATGACCTCACTGGAGATGATTCAACACTAGCAGTTGTGGCGGATGGGAGGTAATTAACAATCTATTTGTGTTACCAAAGAATGATTAAATGATTGTTGTAGGGAATGGGAGAGGCAGAATAACAATGTCTATGGAACAGTCTGTACAGGAGATATTGTGGGAATAACTGGCTCACCTGGTACAAAACTTCATTGAGGTTGATTGATTTAATTATCATGTATTATGTAGGAATGACTAAAATGGAGAGTTGAATATTGTACCTAAGAAACTGGCTCTACTTGCTCCATGTCTTCATGTCATTCCAAATGGAAAGAATGGCCTGTTAAATTCAGAGAAACAAAGATACCTTGACCTGATGAATCACAGTCGTTTCAAACAGAACTTCAAAATCCGGTAGGATGGTGCTATATTAATTACCCACGTAGATATATTGACTTATTTCTCAACTAATAGGGCTAAGGTCATGTCTTCTATAAGACAATTCTTTGAATCTCTTGGATTCTTAGAAGTGGAGACCCCAATGATGAACGGCATTGCTGGAGGAGCATCAGCAGTACCTTTTGTCACACACCACAACCACTTTGACACCAACCTGTTTATGAGGGTTGCACCTGAGTTGTATCTCAAGGTAAGATTATGAATATCCTGGTGTCAATAAAAGGTTTTGTCTTCGTCAGATGTTGGTTATAGGAGGCATTGAAAAAGTGTTTGAGATTGGAAAGCAGTTTAGAAATGAAGGTAATTTATAGCTAATACTCACTCCCTATGAGGAGCTAGTAGTTGTTCTGATTCATGCTCTGACAACATAGATGTTGACAGGACCCACAACACTGAGTTTACTACTTGTGAATTTTACATGGCTTATGCTGATTACTCCGATCTGATAGAAATAACAGAGAGACTCATATCTGGTAGTTGTAATGGCTAACATTGTCGTTATTATGACTCTGATAATATGTACTACCAATCTTATTATAGGACTGGTAAAAGACGTTCATGGGTCCTACAAGATAAAACACCATCTAATGGGAAACCCTAACAAGGTCTGTGAACTAGGCATTGATGGGTTTTCAAAATGCTCGATACTTGCACTATAGGTTGTGGAAATCGACTTCACTCCTCCATTTAGACGGATCTCCATCATAGAGGAGCTAGAGAGACAACTTGGGGTGAATTTCCCCCCTCCAAAAACATTTGCTTCAACAGGTTGCCATTTTCTCTTCTTATCTATGTAGCTAGCTATCACTTCAGGTCTCTTTTAGAGTATAGAAACTTTTTAGAAGACATTTGTCTGAAGCACTCCATTGACTGTGGTCATCTCAGAACAGCGTCGCGCCTCTTGGATAAGGTAAATATCACATCTCTTATAACTCGGTCGTACTATTTCACTCAACAATTAGTTAGTAAAAGCATTTGTGGAAAGTCCAGTGTGTGAATCCTACATTCATCATGGACCATCCTGAGATCATGAGCCCACTCTCAAAGGAGCACCGGTCCAAGCCAGGTCTCACAGAGAGATTTGAGCTGTTTGTGTGTGGGACTGAGGTAGCAGATGCCTACACTGATCTGAACGACCCGTTTGTTACCAGAGAAAGGTTTGAACAACAAATGAAAGACAGAGCTATGGGAGATGATGAGGTACAAAGAATTGGTATTACTCTATAAATAACTCTGCAGTGCTAAAAATTGGTTTGTCTCAGGCTCAAGCTGGTGATGATGATTTTTTCAGAGCTCTTGAGTATGGCCTTCCCCCCTGTGCTGGTTGGGGTATGGGAATTGATAGATTATGCATGTTCCTCACTAACTCACCCAATATTCAGGTTTGTACATCCCCATTACTTGCTTTGCATACTTCTGTATATTTTTGCAGGAAGTTGTTTGCTTTCCAAAGATTTAAAACGTGTCATTTTAGCACAAAATTAATAGTGTTGGCATTGCATAATAATTATTATGATGGCAAGACCATTGCATAGATATATATCGTGTTTCAAGTGTTATGAGAGGAAAGAAAGTGGAAACCAGAAACGAATGACACCCAGGACAACACTTCATTGCTCTGGGTGGGACTCAAATCCACGACACTGGGACTGTCAACTGACAGGGCTCAAATTGCAAATCAGGGAGTCATTAACGGTGTATATAGCCCGGCCCCACGGAGTTCACTGTAAACACCAAGTTATGAATTAACCAGGAACACTCACACAAACAAAAGAATAACATGAGTATATAACTCAAAGACAAAGCACACCATTTAACAAAGTTTGTAAGAGGGGTGATGAGATGTATGTTGAGCCGTGATGATCTGATACATCCATGTAAGGCATGCGGCAACTTTTTTGCTTCAACAAAAGTTGCAGCAACTTCCAAAGTATTGCCCCAGGCAACTTGTTGCCACAAATAGAAAAGCCATCATTTTCTTGCAACTCACTGTAAATTCTGTTATGTAGTTTCAGCACACCAATGTGTGTAGGATGTGAAAAATTTGCTGTTTTAGAAAATTGTGCCAAGGAAGTAGTGTGTAATAGGTTGGTTTGACACTCCAAGATTTGGGGTGTGTTAATGTTGCATACCACAGGTGATGTTTTAAAAACAACACATCTTCGTAACACATTAGTAATGTCGAAACAGCACGGAGACTGAATGACACATAAGTTGATTGTGTTACATCAACACAGGAACTGAAACATGTGAATTCTACACATTTCTTTTAAGCAAAGTCTGTGCAAAATCAACACATTCATTGCAAATGACACACTAAATTGCTTTGCACATTTTGTGTTCAAGTCGAAATGACACATACATTGTTTCAACACACATTAGCCTAGGGAAATTCTGTGTAATAATGGCACAAATAACTTTGACTTTCAATATAGCACACTGACTTTGATGCCAAACGAGCACACTACACAGCAAGGTCTATAGTGTGATAAAGTAACACACCTTGATACTGTGAAAACAGCACAGAGATGAAATAACACATTAGTTGATTGTGTCACATCAACACAGAGACTGAAGGTTAAGCGAAGTATGTTCAAAATCAACACATTCATTGTAATTGACACACTGAATTGTTTATGACGCCCATTAGCCTTGGCAGTATGTGTGATAACCACACAAATAACTTTGTCTAATTTCCATATAGCACACTGACTTTCATGCCGAACTAGCACACTACACACCAGCGTCTATAGTGTGCTGATATTAAAACTAACACACCTTGATTATGCACATCCGACTACACACCATAGTGTGTCAAGTAAACCCGCTATCTGGATGAGTAGAAAGTACACACTATTTAGGTAGGTGCATGCAACACATGTGTCATATGCTGGGACAACTACACACTTATCTTGTGGGGCAAAACAGCACATCCGCCTACACACCATAGTGTGTCAAGTAAACACAGTATTTGGGTGGGTTAAAAGAACATAATTAGAAGTATGTCATATGCTGGGACAACTACATACTTTATGTGTGTTAAAACAACCAGCTTGTGATGTGAAATTGTGTGTTGAAAACGCACAACGAAAGATTACAGTGTATATAGTTGTCTGGGCCCATCGTACTAATTCTTTTGGAAGTTGCTGCAACTTTGTTGAAGCAACAAAGTTGCCACGTGTATGGTCTGCTCTCGAGACCTTTTGCCATTAGGCATGAACTGCTAGCAGTATATTGGATCCATAATAATAATATAGCCACGAAACTAAAAGCACAAACATCTAATGTCATGAATAGTGACTCCATCACTTGGTGGCACCATCTTTTAAAGTATTCGGTGATTCTGGCAGCATTGTAGCTATTCAAAAACAATGCCAGTGTGCTGTGGCATAAGTGAATGGAGCCAAAGAGCGGCATTCCCACGTCAGAGAGACAGAGCAGCGCTGGAAGAGGTGACGAATTGAGTCCGCAGGTGAGACCCCTAAACACTAGCATAGGATGCGACCAATTCTGGACAACAAGGTGGTTGTGGCCTCACTCATGCCGGCCAGGGCCTCAAAAGCAAGGGGGGTGAAAGAGACCTCAACAGAGCGGCAAGAAGGGGCACAAGCTGACATCTTTCGATGCTCCCCCACAGAAAGGGCATGGCCAGCAGAGGAAGCAGCACCTTGAAGGGTAAGGGGTTGAAGGGAGGAAATGACAGTTACGTCCATAGCAGCAGGTTGACCCCGTTCCCAATTTGGAAGGAGGATGTCAGCAGGGAAGCTCTGGGATCCAGGGATGAGCGAAGGAACCTCCTTTCTCGCAGAGCCAATGCAGCGGAGCGGGCAGCATAAAAATCAGAATCACAGATAGAGTTGTGCCTAAGGATTCAATTGCCATTCCCCCTGCAACTGACCTGATGGTCACCAAAGGGGTCCGCAGCAGAGTGTCAAACTCCGCATTTTGCCCTCTCCTCAAAAATTGGGACCCCTAACCAACCAGAAACTCACGATCCATGAAGTGAAGGCCGAGGGAAGACGAGGGAACAACATTTAACCAGTCACCAGCATGGGGGATAGAACACGATTGGGCAAGGGCGAGAGAATGGGTGTCAGGGGCAGAGGAGAGAAGTAGGTCGAAAGATTCCTGGTCAATTTGATACGAGAAGGAGTGCTGCCTGAGGGGGACGACGATGTCCTGATGAGAGACCAACTCAGGATGCCCAGCTGCCCCGGCAAGAGTGGCCAGGCAGGAAGGGAGACTAGCAGGGACAGGAAGAGGGTGGCGGAGAATCTGGGAAACGAGGGGGTTGGAAAGAGTGAGGGAGCCAACGAAAGCTGCAGGAGTGTGAAGGAGGGTCTGACGGAGATGAGGCCACCCAAAGAAATAGGTAGCGATGCTATCAACCAGCTCCAGTCAGAGATGGGACCCCCACCAAGGTCTGCCAAGGAATCTCACATGATGTTGACAAAGGCTGCAAGTGCAGGATGAATTGGGTTAGGGGCACAGATACGGAGAGTGGCAATTATAGGGAGGGAGAGGCAGGACCGCAAGAGAGCAGTTTCCATTTGGGCATCTTGGAGGTCCCTCAAGTTCACAAGGGTGTCCTGAATATTGGCAATCATCTTCTTGACTGTGGAGGTGCAGAAGGAGGCAGACCCTATAGGACAACCCAGAAGAACAAAACCACCATCGGTGACAGGAACAAGACCAAGAGGGAGGTGAAGCATCAGGGGGAATGATGAGAAGGGATTTGCTCCAGTTAAGCAGCAAACCACAAGAAGGCCCCTCAGTCTCAAGGATGTCAAGAGCCGCTCAGAGATCACTCAGAGGACCACAGAGTCCCGTCATCTAGATACCAGAGGTTCACGAGAAGACCTGGAACATCTCGCTTCATTTGCTTGAGAATAGGCTGCAGGGTGAGGGAAAAACACACCAGGCCCAGCGTGTGGTATAATTATAGAGGCATGATATTTATAGAGTATTAAATAGTCATCGTATTTATAGGTTATATGCTCATGATCTCCTATATTTTACTATATATTCACACCCTCACGTCTCTAGGACTAAAATTAACCTATTACTTTGTAGTCTGGACAGGATCATAATTATATCATATCCTTGTTGTAACATCACTTACTCTAGAATCTTCTAGATCTCTCACCCATACCTCACTCCTTTGTATAAAAGCACCGCACCTTTCTGTATATTTACCTGTTCACTAAGATGTTAATACTCGTGCAATAGTATCTGAACTTTAGAGACGTGGCATAGTATCAATTACTAAGATACTACACAGTGGGTCACCTTGCTGGACCCTGCAGCAGCTGCGAATTATGTCGTCGCACGAAATGTAGAAGAGGCTAGCAACATTCAAGCCAGGCTGACAAGGAGGGGATACGAGACCGAACCTCAACAAACATACACTTCCGATCTTTAGCAGTGTTCTCTGTAGGATAATTATAAGGCTTGTGGGGTTGGTGCTGCAGGGAGCGCTAGTGGGACTTGAGTGGACATATTTTATGCGGCTGCATGCACATTACACATATCAGTGTTTTATAAGTGATACGAAACAACAATGTAGGTGTTAAAATTTATTTTCATTCTGTGCCCATAGCTATATCACAAGCAGCATCATAGGGAAAGTCAGTGGGATGGTGTCCCTCAATTGTAATCATTAGGAGATGATTAAGAATTTTTGTTTGATAGGCAATTTCTTAATTTTGTTTCCACTCCTGAAAAAGCCGATTATCCACGTTCACAATCCACAGTTGTTACAGGTATGGGTAATTCTAACTTAACCAGATTGGGAAACATTGTACTGAATTCAGGGGTCTTGATCACATGGCTCATTAAATCACGCATTTTTAGCTGCTTTAGATCAGGAGTCGCAGCTATTACACTGTTGAATGTTTGTAATTCATTTTTAGTAATCCCACTGTCTATTACAGAGTGAGGACCGTAGTGATCAATGAGTAGTTGTATTTTGTCACTGTTGTGATTCGGTTGGAGAGAAAGCTCTTGCGGTATAGTGTTAGGGTTGAAAACACTAAATCCCTCTAGCAATGACATATCAGGAAACCTGTCTGTTATAATTATGTTGAGAAAGACTAGCAAGATACTTGCTATACACATTCTGCTTGAAATGCTGAACTAGGTGATCTGTGCTCTGTTGAACACCATACTCTTCAAGTGCAGGCAGAATGGTATAGACAAACTGCAGAAATGCTCCCCTGGTGTTTGGTAGAGAGCATCGATAGCAGCTTTTGTGCCTCTTACAAGTGGTCTAACAACTGTAAAGTCTATGTCATGTTTTTGAAAAGCGCGGGATAAAGCAGCTAGTGGAGGAAGAAAGTCAGAGAACATGTATAAAGCTGCTACAACTTGTATGTTTTAACAAACGCAGCCAAGCCGGCTGCTTCTGCGTTATTTCGTTCTTCTGCGTCCCTCTCAAGACTGGTAATGACAGAAGGCAAACTACACAGGTTTTGCACAGCTTTATCACGAGACAGCCAGCGAACGTCCTTGGCTTGGGTAAGCTTTATCTGGAGATCTCCTGGATTTGCTTCAACCCAGCAGAATGAACAGCCAAGTATATACTCATAAAAGTGATAAAACTGGTCCAGTATCTTTAAGTAGGGAATCTCATTAGCTGATTGGCCTGCTTCTAATGCTAATCTGTGCTACACAGTGGTTAGCAACAAGAAAAGGAACAACACTTCTGCATATCATTAAGTCTCTGAACAGGCCACAAACACTATCAGTGATTGTAACAGCTGTTCCATTTGGCAATTCAAGGAGCTTCAAAAAACTAGTTTTGACGACACCACGAAGCGGTTTTAACTCTATAATAGAGTAAAGTCAACTAGGAGGAAACAGCATGAATCCAGAGGGATGGTACTGTCTTTCGTGAGACTTACCACAATGAACAGCCTCACAGCAACCAGGGACCGCCACTCCAACTTGAAGGGGAGATGGAATCGGCTTAGACTGCTCGGGAAACACACTTCGATGTCAAATGACGAAGAACCTCCCCAACAGCAATAGGACGAAGACTATCCCCTTCTTTTGGCAAGGAGTGTGGCCCCGCAGAGATGAGGGAGGATGGAACGGGCAACGCGACCTCTACAGAGGACGTTAACAACTCCCACCAGAACAAAACTGGAGAAATCAGGAGAAGGACAGAACACAGCCTCCTTTAGGTGAGAAGCCCTGAGACAGGAGGGACCAGGGGCTGAACCACTTGGGAAAGATCGAAGGGCCTTAGTGACATCTAAGCCGGAGACCTGGACTGGGGGTGGAGCCGGGGATGGAAAAGGGGAGGGAGGAAGGGTAGAAGGGTGCTTGGAACGCATCCCATTCAGAGCATCGACAGAGGAAGGGGCAAAACCCACAGAAGAGACAGATTTAATGGCTTTCCTAAATTGACCATCTTCGACAGCCCTACAAGTACGAAGAGTGTTAGCTGACCGGATTGATTCCTGAAAGGCGGGGTTAGACCGGAACTTCTTTAGACGCAGGAGAAGCCGCTTATTCTTGTCCCTGACCTCGCACCAGAGGGACAACCACCCTCCAGACCTCCACTTAGTGATATGTGCTTGGACCAGCTTTAAAGTATCACGCCATTGTGAGTGACCCCCCTCCCCCTGGCGAGAATACATCTAGCCAATTGGAAGAATTTCATCCAAGACCCTTCATCACTGGAGTCCGAACAGATGGTGTGGCAGACATCACCAAAAAGACCAGCCCAAGCGTCCCTCGGAACATGGCGGAGGGTGGAGACACGCAGGCGTACAGAGAAGGGGGAGATGGGGCGGGGGGGAGGGGGGTGATCGAGAGAACGGGGAGGAGATGGAGAGGCCAGATCAGTTCCCTAAGTGGTTGCAGCGACAGCACCCCATCTCGATCAAGGTAACGCGCGCATGTAACGCGCCACATTTCGCAGAAGTTTTCAGGTGTTGTGTGCACCACACATGCTTTGCACAGTTCTGTATGCTGATGAGAGATCCCTCACAGCTTCCGCAGAGTAAAGTCAAAGCTTTACAGACTGCCAGACACGGGGTAATACTCGCGCTGCCGCTAATTCGTCGCGCACCCGAAAGCGAGGTAGCTCCTGCGCAGCGACTAGGTATCGAAAGACAAGCCCGAAGAAGCCGACGTCTAGCGTGCGTCCGAAACAGCCGAAGAGCGAGAGACTCGTCGAGCGTGGGACCTGGCTTCCGAGAGGCGGCGTCTAGCCTGCGAGACAGCCGATTAAAGAGCGGGAAACGCGCTTGTCTCGACGACGGGAGCGGCACCAATGCACGGCGTGCAACTCAGACAAGAGAAGCACGCTACTGGTCGGCACTACACGTGCCAGGACAGAACAGATTGACCTTTCTCAGCATGTGAAACAATATATTGACCACTTTCTAAACCAGGCTGACAACACAGGTTCATGTGGTCAGCCTTGCCCTAAATGAGTCGCGACACCATATTTTTTAATGCGCATGCGTACAAGTGGTGGGCGTTGCCGCACTTTACAGTCAGGTGATTGTCCCCAGAAATGGCAGGGAACCGCAACGCTGATGGGAAAAGAGGCCAGAAGAACGGCGGCGGCTACGACTGTGCGTTCGTGACGCGGCCGCCGAACACAATTCAGACCCAGTGCCCCGTTTGTCTCCGAATCCCGAAAGAGCCGTGCCTGGCCAGTTGTCTCTGCGGAAAAGAGTTTTGTCGCGAGTGCGCCGAGGAAATACAGGGAGAAAACAAGCCCTGTCCTCTGTGCAACAAGCCCGGCATAATTTTCTTGCGACACCACGGCTCGGAAAGATATCTCAAAGCTCAGGAAGTTTGGTGTTCGCAAAAAAAGAACGGTTGTGACTGGCGGGGGAAACTTGGAGAGTATGAACAGCATCTGAATCTAAATCCACCGTCTCCAGAGAACCAGCTGATCGGGTGTCAGTTTGTTGAGGTAGAGTGTGAGCGTGGGTGTGGGGAGAGGTTCCTGCGTCGCCACATTACTTCCCACCAAAACCTTGAATGCCGAAAACGACCTTACCCCTGTGAATACTGCCATGATTATCACTCCAATTTTCAAGACGTAACTGGACTACATTATAGTCAGTGTACCCAATATCCAGTCCCCTGCCCCAATAGATGTCAAGAAACCGCCATGAAAAGGCAAGAACTCCAGAAACATATCGAAGAAGAATGTCCTCTCACAGAAGTCAACTGCCCACTGCACTTTGCTGGTTGTGGAGTGAGACTGCCTCGCAAAGACATGCCTGAACACCTGAAAGACACTGTCACACATCTGACACTGCTGGCTACCACCACGCAGAGCCTCCTTAAAGAGAACCAAGAGTTGAAACGGCACAATCAGCAACTTGAGCTAAAGCAGGAAAGCATGGAGAAACAATTCACTGCACTTCAAGAAGAGATGCAAACCATGAAGTTGTGTTTGGGTGGATTACCAATCATTTTCGCTGTAAACTACGAAAATAACGAAAATGTCGTTTATCTGCCCTCGTTCTACACCCATGCCCAAGGCTACCGAATGTGTATCCAGTTCTACCCAAATGGTTTTCAGAGTGCAAAAAGTACGCATGTTTCGCTCTTCATGTGCCTAATGCGAGGTGGATATGATGATTACCTGAAATGGCCATTTAGAGGTGAGATAACCATCCAAATAGTAAACCAAGCTGGAGACCACAGCCACGTTGAGAGAGTTATCCCCTACAATGACGAGACGCCAGATGATACCGCTGGTAGAATGACAGACAAGGAGAGAGCTAAGGGATGGGGTTTCCTGAAATATTTGGTTATTAGCGATCTGGATAACAACATTGCAAAGAACACCCAGTACCTGAAAAACGGCACTCTTATGGTGCGAGTGGTTGGAGTTAAAATCACCACATGACTTAATCTCACTGTATACTGTCTGTGTTGTGAAAGTGTTTTGTTTCCCTCTACACATTCTTAACCTGTGTTTGTATAACATTGCATGCACTTGGTTTTCACGCAATAACTATGGACTTTACGAAAATCGCTATTTAAAAAATGAGGTCAGTGTAGAGCTGAACCCGCCCGTGACGCGTTTGTTGCGCGCGTGGTGACAGAACAAACAGACGGACTGACAGACATTTAATAACCCTCACTGCGCATGCGTCCCGATGGATTGGCCGCGCGCGCAGCTGCTGGCCGGCCTGCTGGGCGCAGAGGTGTGGTTCCGCGATATCAATAGGGGAGGCGTGCGTGGAATCGATCACCTCCTCCGGCCAATCCATGCTCACAATCCGATCTGTACCATATCTCGGCCGTATCTTAGCGCCGTCTCTTGCGGAGGCAGCTAGTAAATATTTAGCCGCAGCATCCTGGGATCGGCGCAGGATGTTGCACACCAGGGTGAACGAGAAAACCCTGTTCGACTACATGAGCCAAGGTATTGACGTAAATCTGAAGATGGGAACTCCCCCGGAAACTCTTTTACGCAGGAGTAATGAGTATATGAAGAAAGCAGCACTCCACAGGCTGGTACACATTAGCTAGTACAGCTACATGTTAGGTGATGACCTACATTATTAGGAAAAGCCGGATGCTCCATGCTTGTTCCAGTACGGACCCGAAGCAGGGGATTTGAGATTTCGTCAGGAATTATCTCACTTCTTGAGTCAAGAATATATGGACCCTGTTCAAGTGTAAGGGTGAGACTAAAAGCACACACCCTTCTTTTCTAGCTACTGTACCTCGATAGGCTGGCTTTACCATTTCACTCCATTGCCAATCATTCCAAATCTTAGTTACCATCTGTTCCTCTTGCCAGTGATGATATAATTGTCACTGCTGGAGCCACGCAAGGTCTCGCCATGTTGGCTAATCTGCTGTTTTCTCCTGGTGACTTGGTATTTGTGGAGGACCCCACATACTTTATAGGCCTGCAGGCACTCCGCCAGGACTGTGGTCTGCATTGTGTTCCAGGTCAGACTCCAGTCACTATGCACTGGTGGGTCCAGATCAAAAGAATGTTGGCGGTGCAAACCTGCTTTTGCACTGCATGAATGAAAAGCACTAAAGTGCAAACCCTCGGCGAACTGCGAATGCGTGGTACCGCTAATGGATGGGCTGGATTATTGGCATTTACTCGCGGTCTCCCGCTAGTCGGAGAGTCTGACACTGGCTAGCTACAGTAGTAGATAGCATGCGGGAGTCGATACACACCCTTCGCTGTGGCTTCTTGTGCCTCCAAGGTACACAGAGAAAGCGGATCAGGTCGAAGTGAGCCAGCATGCTGCGTCTAATACACGCATGTGCACCGCTTATTGATGGGTTGGGCCACGCAACGCTGTCCGCGACCGTGTCAGTTTGTCGCTCTCGAACGCAGTCGTTTCAGCAAAATCGCCATTTTATTTTTCTAGCCCATGTATCGCTAAAGCTGTTGGTATCGCTCAATAGCCGCCTCGTAGCCTGTAGTGCGAGAATAGTCGTAGACAGACAGACACACAGAACGACTACCGTAACCCTCGCTGCGCATGCGCGCTGAGGGTTAATTATGAGTTAGAGCGTTATAGTGATGCCCTAAGACACAGGCTGCCCACGTGGAAGTAATCGGTTTTAAAATCGGCCGTGGTTCAATTGGCTAGTGAATGTGAGGCCTTTAGTGTGCATCAGCTGTGGCTGCTTCTTCTGAATAGCTGTTGGATAAGCAAGAGTATTGTAACTATACCTACGTACATATGTAGCTATAGTGAAGCCTTCGTTGGTCATAAACTAAACTCTCCTCATTTCTGTGCAATCAAACACACAAATTTGTATTACACAAAGAACCAAGTGTTACAGGGAGCCACAGGTGCCAGGCTATTTTTTCAATTTGCCGTTTTATTAGATTACGTGGAATACATGGAACTGGCAATACCACAGAAGACCTTCATTCAAAATTACAAACATGCTGTAGAAATTTCACTTGCCACGTAGTAAGCACCTATAAGTGTTAGTACAATGTTTTGTATGGTAATTATTATTACTGCATATTTGTTGCTAATCTTGTAAGGGTAAAGAATTCACCGTTAAGTTATAATCACTGAAACGTACTGTTTCCGCTATCAGTTCCTATGGACGAGAATGGAATAATACCGGAGGAGCTGGAGCAGTATCTGAAGGAGAGGTCATCAATCAAACCGAGGGAGATTGGAGGAAGAAAACCATTCTGGTCGATGCTCTATCTCATTCCCACCTTTCACAACCCCACCGGAGTGTGTCTCTCGGCAAGTATGTCTATGGCCATATTATGTCTCGTTCAAATTGTTTTCTATATTTCTTATTCTTCTATCAATGTGTAGCCCGATGCAGAAGGGTAGTGCAGATTGCAAGAAAGTACAATCTGCTTGTTGTGTGTGATGATGTCTACAACCTCCTGGCCTTCTCCCAAGACGAGGAGAGTGCTCTGCAAAGAAAGAGGCTGTTTGCCTACGATGACCCGTGAGTATATATACCTGACTAACTAAAAGCAAAAGATAAAGCTGTTCTATTATAATAACAAGGGCGCACAAAGGTACCTCATCACTTCCTTGCCAAAATTTAGATTGTACACATTGTATCATGGAGTTTAACCGTAGGTTAAACATAGTTAACAAGGAGAGCCAGACGGGCATGGCGCCGGGACGCATTGAGGATGAACCATGCGCATGTGCGCGGGCCATGGGCCACACGCATGCGTACGAAACGACCTCGTGGTCAGGTGTCAGTTTGCCAACTTTTGTGTGCTAGCTCAGACTCTGCGGTCGCACCCAAGACTCCCACGTTCCAGCTATCCTACTCTCCGTGTCAGGTCCGTCAGTACCTCGGCACCGTCCTGCCTTGCCCTCGCGACGCCCGTCGGCCGCTCAGAACTCTTCTGTCGACAGCCCAGTCTCACACCTCGAACCACCTCCCCCTGTTTCCCGATCTCACCCCATTCTTGTCTCCCTCCCAGTCTTTCCTACTATGACCTCTGAAGGTGACCCGATCACCGGTGACTCCTTCACCCCGCGACAACTGGAATTGATCAGGGAGCTGATCGTCGTGAACCGCCCGCTGCCCTCAGCCTTCAGCGGAGGCATTAAGATGTGGCTGGAGTGCTACGCCAGGATGGCTTCGGTCCTGGTGACACGTTTTCCGGAGAAGGCCCCAGAACTCTAGGCTTACCAGTCGACCATCCTGAAGGCAGCCCACAACTACGAAGGGTGAAATTGGGTCGCCTATGACAGTCAGTTTCGAAGGGACATGTTGGCCAGGAGAGACCTGAACTGGTTCGCCACAAACACCCGGCTCTACAACGAGGCATTCACAGGCAGGGCCAGGACCATCCCCCACTGCCCACACTGACCCTCCGAGGACCACAGTGGGGCCAGCTGTTCCCATAATTCTGAACCCGCCGATCCTGGGCTGCCTCCAGTCTCCGATGCCCGTCCAGTGGGTACAGCCACCTCAGTTTCAACCCTCGCCAGCCGCAGCCCAGAGGCCAGCTCTTGCCTGGGAGGTCTGCCATAGCTACAATATGAACCGCTGCCGCTATGCCCATGTATGCTCCTAGTGCGGGGGAGCCCACGCGGCACCGAGCTGCCTGTCGCCACGCCAATTCCCAGACCGCAGGCCTGCTCCGCGAGGCCGCCCTTCGGCATGGTTCCGTCAGAACCAGGCACACCCTTATCTACCCGCCCCTGGCGGCAGTGTGGCTTGTCAGGGCTGCGCGTGTGTATGTTGAATTATGCATAAGTGAAATTGGTATGCGTATGTGCATATGCGCATTGCAAGGAACGTGCACCCGAACAGCCGCAGCCACACCTGTGAACTTGGCCAGACGAACCTGTGGTAGCATTGTAGCTAGGTAGATGTGTTGGTAGCTCATACGGCATGTGTATTACTCGTTGCCCCGATTCCTATTATGGTGTATTTGTGGCGCGGTTCCGCCTTGGCAGGCGTTCTACTTCTGTTACATCTCCTTGCATGGTCAAGAGAACTCTATGCATACACGGCGGATCTCTAAACCCTCGACCTCTGCCGCTGTCCTGCCCCTACAGCGTACTCCCGGTTGAGTCGGGTGCAGACCCCACTTGTCGGCCAGGCCTGGGAGGCCGCCCTGGCAGGGCACCCCAATAGGGCGTTTGCCCGCTGCGTCACCAGGGGCATTCGCGAAGGTTTCAGGATCGGCTTCCACTGCTCTCGGCTTCTCCTCTCCGCAGCTCGCAACATGCTCTCGACCTGCATGCACCCGGAGGTCATCCAGGCCTACCTCAATAAGGAATGTGCCGCTGGCTGCATGCTCGGCCCATTCTTGCCCCCAGCCCTTGGTGGCCTCCCTCCACTGCATGTTAACCGCTTTGGGGTTATCCCGAAGGGCCAGAATACTGGCAAGTGGCGCCTGATCACGGACCTGTGATACCCACTGGGGCTAAGTGTCAATGATGGCATAGATCCAGAGCTCTGCTCGCTCACCTACACGTCCGTCGATACCGTAGCCGAGGTAGCGGCCTACTACCCCCTGGGTGCTCTACTCGCCAAGGTCGATATAGAATCGGCCCACATGGGATGGGGCCATTTATGTGGATCCCATGCTACCTTTTGGGCTCCATTCGGCCCCTAAGATATTCAACGCGGTTGCCAACGGCCTCGAGTGGTACCTTCGCAGCAGAGGGATTCGTCAGATTGCCCATTGCTTGGACGACTTTATCGTTATCGGCCCGCCACACTCATCGGAATGCGCGGATGCATTGGCCACGCTGGACGACGTCTGCTCCCGGCTTGGGATCCCCCTCGCGCAGTACAAACGAGATGGCCCAACCACCTCTCTCACGTTTCTCGGTGTTGAGGTGGACACGGAAGCCGCCGAGCTCCACCTCCTCAAGGACAAGCTGGAGCGTCTCCGATCCCTTCTCGAGGACTGTGCCGCATGTTGGACCTCCTCAAAGGGAATCACCACCCCTATGCCCCCATCCAATCAGGCTGAACAGGTCGTTCTGCTCCGATCTGACTTGGTGGAGGCTGTTTGCTGCTGAATGGAACGGAGTCTCCTACCTGCCCCCCTCCTCTAACCTACCCAGGCTGTGGATGGCATCCGATGCCTCGGGCTGTGGTGGATGCCAGTGCAGTGGAACACCCAGTCGGCCGCACTCCCCATTATGCCGAAGGAGCTGCTTCCGGTGGTCCTAGCTTCGCGGTCTGGGGCCAGTCGTGGTCCGGCTGCCGTGTCACCGTCCAGTGCGAGAATCAGTCACATACCTGCCACGATCACCACATAATGCATATGTTTGCGCACTTTGGCTTTCATAGAAGTCTCCCATTCCTTTGCTCTGTCTCCGCAGTATATAAGTACCACAGACAATCACCGAGCGGATGACTTGTCGCGTAACTGCCTCTCCTCCTTTGTGTCAAAGGTCCCGGACGCCGACTGCACCACCGACACGACCACCGACCGCCGACGTGGCACCACGTGAGATCACGTGGCCGGGCTAGGTGTCCGTCGCTACTCCGTCGATGGGCGCACGTGGGCTGGGCCGGGCCCCCAACATGACCGGGGACACTCCCGCCATGTCTGGCTCCTCCAAATATTAGAATGGGAGAGCCGGAGTTAAATGTATTTTTCTGCTGTTTAGCTCACTAACACTTAGCTTTATTTGTGCTTTGAGTGATCCCTATATCACACTTTGATATGGCCAGGAAATCAAGGATTAGTAGCTAAAACTGATGAGTCACTACAGCAGTGGTGCTTCTTGAAGCCTTACAGAGGTGAATGTGCCCACTATCTTGCAATAACAATGGATTCAGCAAAAAAGTGTGAAATTTTGTTACCAGACAGCTGATGAAGTATAGTTTTTAATTGCGCTTATGAACACAGTGATTAAGCCCGTCCTTATAATAATGTGATGCTGGTCATACACACTTTGCATGTAACATAGCCTATGTCAATAATTTGTTCAGTGACTGCTCTTAATCACAGCTGTTTGAAAGTTCGTAATGAATGTTAAAAGGTCAATCGCTGAGAGGGAAAAATCGCTAACTAAACATATCGAACTGCAGTCTATGACGCCATCCTGATAATATTTCTTGTGCCGAATCATTATTAACCCTGGCCTGCATCTCTGAAACAAGAGGTCATGATTTGTTATACAATCTACAGGGGTGACCCAGACTACAGTGGCAATGTTGTGTCCAATGCATCGTTCTCAAAACTCTTTGGTCCTGGCCTAAGACTTGGCTGGCTAGAAGCTCCTTTATGTGTTAGAAATGTCATTTTGAGCAGGTATGTCCTTTATAGTTTACTTTTGCCTTCATTGATTATCGTTCACTTTTTTTAACTGTATGCAGTGGTCTTGCCTTCAGTGGGGGAGGGTTGAACCATTTCACATCAGGTTTGATGACTAGTATCATTTCTGAGGGTCTGCTGCAGAAACATTTGACAGAGGCGAGGGCAATGTATAAGGTATGTTTAGTACGTGTGAATGCTTATCGTTGGGGACTGTGAGCGGTCAAAGCACCATTGGCATGGAGGCCCGGAGGAAATGACCATGACTATGAGAGATTGAGTCAAGCAGCAACTTTGAAATTGCCAAACATCTACGTAAGAATCTCCTTGTTTATAGGTGCAGTGTGAGGCTGTCTGCTCAGTCCTGCAAGAAAAGCTGCCATCAGCCATGTTCACTATCCCAGAGGTTTGTTGGTTTTAAACATTTCATCTTCCACTGTAGCAGTGCTTTTATAGGGTGGGTATTTTCTATGGCTAAAGCTACCAAAACCGCTGAAGGGTTCAGGTAAAACTATCCATGATTTTGATGCTGTTTTTGTATAGTGTGTGGTTTAGTCAGCATTGCATTGTGATTTTGGAACTGGTGTCTCTCAATGCAGATGTTGTGCAGCAGTGTGAGAAAAATCTAAAAATTACATGCTTTGCTGGAGATATGTAAGTGCATATATATCTCAATGGTGCGACCTTCAGATATATCTTTTTCATCTAGAGCATCCCCAGAGGCCAATTTTGATGACTATGTTAGGATCAGCTTCTCTTACTATGAAGCGGACGTGTTAAAAGCTGCAATGGTTAAATTTTCAGATCTTATCAATTCAATGTTGCATGAAAGTTGAAACTTTTACCAACTAAGTGACATTTACTTTTTTATATCAGAGCAGACAAGCGCCAGGCAACTAATCCAGGATCAATTCTCGCTATAAGTATTATAAGTACGTAACAATAGTCAGTCTTTAGGAAACATGGCTTCTGTTTTGGAGCGACAATAGCTTATATACTCTTGGTCGCTTCATGCAGTGATGAAACTTCTGTTTTTCCAGATGGCGCTCAGGCTATTTTGCTTGCATAGTATAGCAAAAGGTGGTGTTGCTCCCCAGCAGTGCAGTGACTGGCTGCGGAGCATTCACAACAGCGTGCTCTAGCAGGGCAGGGGAAAGAATAATAGTTAGCCAGCTGATGCATTAGAGAGCGCTACTGCAGCAGCACTTAACTGCAGAGGCAAAGTTTCACCACTCACCCTGACAGTTGCCGGTCGGCGGGGCTGAAAAGACCAGGACCAAGACTAATGGATTGCTGGAGTCGACATCTACCACCCAATGTAAATATGAGTTTAAGGGAGGAGCATTATTATTATACTCTCTGGATATCCTAACCCACTGTCTGTATAATATACAGAGACGTCCAACTCGCGTATATAGTTGATTATGTGCGTGCGCACACATTGGCGGGTGTTTCTACACCTAGGGCAATGACTGAAACAGCAAATGCTTGATGCAGCTCTGCCTTTCTATACACAGGGACTGAAACTTGTATCTTTCATTTTACCTATAATCAGCCGCATTACATGATGCACATAATTATATACACATTTGTTGCCAGGATCACAGTGGCTGTCATATTATGCTCCCCCCATACTCTTAGGCAAGTCCTAAGTGTTTAGCATCTACATGTAGCTATGGTTTATATATATGCAAGGGCGAAAGTATCTGCCGATATCAAGAGTAGCTGATAACACAAACTATATACACATGGTATGTAATGTTATTCTACACAGTTGATCACCTTTCTTTGTATATACTACATCTGAGGCGAGATCTGACCATAGATATATAGCTCCTCCAAACTCCTCTTCCTTCTTCTTCTTCCTCTCTCCTCTTTCTCCCCCTCTACGAATTCCGAACAATGTACCACAGGAACCAATGACCACACCCACTGGTAGGGACACCAATAGAGTGATGGTCAGTGTTATAGCCACAGCAACTCCAGTTGATATCTCTTCTCTAGTCTCAGTCTCAGTACAACTTGTACTGGCAGTAATACTTCTCTAGTGTCAGTACTGGCAGTAGGCAGATCTAGTATGTATGTAGGACTAATGGTCATTGCACAGTATATACTGACCTGACTCCTCCAAGACAGAGAGAGTACTAGCGCTTGTACTGGCAGTAGGCAGATGTATATAGGACTAATGCCAATGATTGTTGCATTGTATCTATAGATTATACATACCACCTTCAATGTTTAGCTGGGGAACTGTGAAACAGTATTGCTGGCCATTTGCCAGAGGGAGAGTAGAGACATTGATAGGCAGGATGACAGGGGTTCCGGGCCGGTGTTGGCTGTCACGTTCTGCTGAGGAAGACACTTCTCTCCACTGTCCTCCTCTCTCACTCCAAATGACAGCTCCACTGTGTAGGGGACACTGCGACAGAGAGGGCTCAGACTGACCACCACTGCAGGTCCTTCAGCTGAATCCTCTCCCGCCTCCACCTTCACTGGGACAGCTGCTGAGGTCCATTGAAGTAAATGTTGAATACAGTATATATAGTAGCTGTTATAATACTAAAACAGCTTGGCTGTTTAGTTTTTTTAATAAGTAAGTGTCAACATTACTCGGTAGTCTTAGAATGAAGTAACAATGGAAAACCTACTGTCAGTACTAGCAGAATCGGATCCAACATCATTGCTGAGAGAGAGTGAGATGGTGTATTTGTCATCTCTGTGCCAGTGCGGGTTCACTCCAGCAATGATGATGCCAGGTCTGCTCTCCAGGGATCTTTGCAGAAGATGCTGATGGCAATTGACAAGACACCTCTGACCCATCAGCAGAAGCTCCACCTCTTCGAGCAAGGGGTTTGCAGGCATCCAGGAATTTGCAGGCATCCAAGATTGTATAGCCGTTCACATCTTATGATCCAGGAGTCAAGGAAAGTGGCAGATCTCTGGCTACTGGAAGAGAAGAAGAGACAGAGAATGAAGTTCAGGCCTGCAGTTCTTGTAGACTCCATCCAAATGAAAGACTGTACCCCCAGAGCCGTAGAGCCTTGACAGGTGCGGTCAAGACTCTTCTGTCTGAGGAAGAGGACGATGCACCTCTCACTGTCCCAGCTTCCAGCCAAAGGAGAGATGGCCAGGGCCTGGGAGGAGTCCTCAACTGATCTGTGGGTGAGGGCTGTTCCAACTTCCTCCAGAACCACTGAAGTTTGTTCTGAATGCATCAATCAACACCCACATGTTGTGAAAGAAGGCTTCTGATATCTGCCCCCCTTGCTGATTCCAGCCAAGGAGAGAGAGACGCGCCTGTCGCAACGTCGGGCGCAGGAAAGAGCATGTCTTGAAGCATCATCATCTCAAGATCGTGACACACGCCTCCAACAGATGGGAGTCGCTGACCGCTGGAGACAATCCGTCACAGAGAAACATCCGCCTCTCGAGCGCAGCTAAATATTTATCACTGGGTGTGCATGACACATGCATGTACATACGAACATGTTCCAATTTCTATATACTTGAATGTCAAACCCATCGTCCACATACTCAACCGTTGCTGGTTAGCACTATACCTGTGCCAGTATAGAACATAGCTACTAAGTCCATTTCTTTTGGACCGCTCTCTAAACCGGGCTTATAACACAGGTTCTTGTGTCGGCCCTGTCCCAGTTGAGTCACTCCCGCTCGCCAACAATGTTTAAACATTCTACTGGTAATATTATGTTGCCTGGTGGTTGTCAAGTAGTCTACATACTGGTGGTATATAGCTATAGCTTCACAAACGATTCTGGCTGTGGTGTCTTGTTAGTATACTTAGTTATGTTTTCCGCCAGTCAGGCAGCCGGTCTGTCACCAGCTGTTCAAGAATTGTTGTGTTTTACCTGAAACATGTAAATATGTTGTGCTTCGCAGCACTAACAACCTGGTCGGCCCACAATGTGCACCATACTCTTTTGCCATTCCTATCATGTCTCCCGTCTTGTGCCTATTCCGTCTTGGTCTTTTCCCCTTCTAACTTATATACATAAATATAGTGGGAGGGAGGGAGGGAGGGTGGGTAACCCTGTAAAAAGCCTGATGCATATTTCATAGTATAAAGAAGAAGTGCCTGAAGCTATTAACAACAAGTCTCAAATAAGCATTACACAGTCATTTGTAACCCAATTATAATATTATGCTACTGTCAGTAAGTTGAAGGAAAGAGGTATTAGTTTATGCTAATAATTATTAGGTAGATATCCATGAGTAGCTTACACTTTGAGAATTCCCGTGAATTGTGAATAGGAATAGCTAACTGAAGCACAAACAGGCTGACCTTGTTTTGATGCCAAAACCCAAACAGAAACACAAGAAAAATAGACATGGGAATTTTACTCTATGTAAACACATTGTATGTTATACATAAGACAAGTGCATGGCATAAAGTAATGTCAGAGAAGTTTTGAGTATAACTGTCTATATTGTGCTACTGGCAATATCCGTGGAAGCACTGGTTACACTCATGGAATGATCCAGTTGGCTGCTGGACCAATTTTTCTTTCTTCTTGTCTGATTGCACGAAACCATTATATACACAGCAGAGTGGAGCACACAGGGTTTTTACAGGTCCTTTTATCAGTGTAAGAACATATTCGGTATTGCTTAACATTCCAGGCACAGCAGACAATTTTCTTAACTCTCATTCTTATGTCAACCATAAACCAGGACTCCAGAATGGGATGAATGAGTGCATACGATATGTAGGTCATGTACACAAATGCAATAGCTTCAGATGTAACTTTGTCGAAATCAATGACTTGGGAGGCAAGGGCAAGACCAAGGACTGAATATGGCAGTAAACACCTTAAAAAGCTGCAATTGTTGTTGTTCCCGGTTAAGTTCTGATTCAGCAGCACTCTTAGCAGAGGCTGTGAACATCTGTTTTCTAGCAGCCCTGAGTTTATTCAAGTGTTTCCTGGTTCTACAAAGGAGACTGATGTTGCACACAACTATGACTGTGATTGGTATGAGAGCTTCCACAAAGAATAGTAGAACGTAATTGATATTCTTAGTAAGGTGGGTCTCGCTGTGAAATATTGCCACACACGTTCCAATAGAACTTGAGTATCCAACAGTTCCAAAGCCAAAAAGTGGTAGGATTCCAATGATGATGGATATGAGCCACACTCCAAGGAGAGTAAACAACATCTTCCACCTGGTGACCCAGGTCTTGTAGCTGATAGGCAGTACGTAACTCATGCTCAATTTTTGCCATCCCTTCATTTTAACTTACAATACGGAGAAGTTGAGCAATCCCTCCACTAAAGGCCTGATTCAGCAGTACAGCACTAGGAGAGGCGTCGTTGGCAGTGGGGAATTGTTGTCGGAACGAAGTCGTCATTTTTTCCAAGTAAACCACCGCACTCTGTACATCCTTACACTCAGCTCTCGAGGTGAAAGATACCTTCAGCCTGTCACCATGTCGGAGAACGGCGTTAGTGATGGCATCGTCGTCGGCTATTTCGGCTGAGCAAGATTCCCCGGTGCCGTACGTAAGTGTCTGAGCAAAAACAGGGATTTCCTGGGCAAGCTCGATCTCTCTCTTAACCCTTGGCGCGCATGCGCAGCGAGGGTTACTGTAGTCTGTGTGTGTCACATCTCACCTCTCGAATGTCTGTTCGTCCCAGAAACGATATCATCTACCCAACGGGCGACGAAGGTAAAAAAATGTGTGGGGTTTTCTCTGAAAATGCTCCGTTGCAGAGCTAGAGCGCTTCCAGCATTGTATGGCTAGTCGCCATTTTATCGCTGGCGGATAATGCGCATGCGCTTATATTTAGCACCGGCTTACCACGACCGGGTCCGCTTGCTCTGTCTATCTTGAAGGCACAAGAAGTCACAACGAATGGCTCTCGCGTGCTATCTACTACTGTAGCTAGCCCGTGTCAGACTCTCTGCGAGCTACTTCGCCGAGGGTTTGCACTTTAGTGCTCATTAACCCTCGGCGCGCATGCGCAGCGATGGTTACTGTAGTTGGGTTTGTCTGTGTGTGTGTGTGCGTGTCTGTTACTCTACATCTCACCTCTCGAATGTCTGTTCGTCCCAGAAACGATACCATCTACCCAACGGGCGACGAAGGTCAGAAAATATGTGGGATTTTCTCTGAAAATGCTCCGTTGCAGAGCTAGAGCGCTTCCAGCATTGTATGGCTAATGCCGGTAGTCGCCATTTTATCGCTGGCGGATAATGCGCATGCGCTTATATTTAGCACAGGCTTACCTCGACTGGGTCCGCTTGCTCTGTCTATCTTGAAGGCACAAGAAGTCACGTGCTATCTACTACTGTAGCTAGCCCGTGTCAGACTCTCTGCGAGCTACTTCGCCGAGGGTTTGCACTTCAGTGCTTTTCATTCGGGTCTGTGTGTCTGTCTGTCTGTTACTCGTCAGCCCACTTCTCGAGTGTTCTTTCGTCTCACAAAGGATACCATCTACCCAACGGACGACGAAGGTCAGAAAATATGTGGGGTTTTTCTCTGAAAATGCTCCGTTGCAGAGCTAGAGCGCGAAAAGCCAATATGTAAATACGCAACGGACGGGAAGGCTTACCGCGGTCTGATCGATCCGCGTGCTCTGCGTACCTGAAGATGGCCTCTCGCATGCTATCTAGTAGTGTAGTTAGCCCGCGTCGCGAGCTGGCAAGAGACCACGAGTAACAGCTAAAACTAAACCCAGATCATCGATTAGTGATACAGCGCATGCGTTTACTCCCGCGTGCGCGTCACAATGCGCCGAGGGTTTGCACTTTCATTAAACCTCGGCGCGCATGCGCAGCGAGGGTTACGGTAGTTGGTTTGTCTGTCTTCTGTCTGTCTGTCTGTCTGTCTGTGTGTGTGGGTCGACGCTTATTCTGGCACTACAGGCTATGAGGTGGCCCATTAGCTATACCAGCGGATTCAGAACTACGGGAGGCAGAAAAATTATTAGGCGATTTTCCTGAAACGACTTCGTTCCAGAGATATGCCGTGATACAAGCGAAAAAGCCAAATCGCACTGGCTTACCGCGACCTGATCCGCTCGCTCTGTATACCTTGTGGGCTCAGGAAGTCACAACGAGAATGGCATGTATCGACTCCCGCATGCTATCTACTACTGTAGCTAGCCCGTGTCTGACTCTCCGCGGGCTACTAGCGGAAGACCACGAGTCAACGCATACAGGCCCAGCAATTTGCAGTATCGCGCATGCGCAGTTCGCCGAGGGTTATCACTTTAGTGCTTTTCATTATTATATTGGAGTGAAGTGCTCAGTGCGCAGTTTACAGTAACCAAGCCTGCTTCAATTTTGCAAAAGCTACACCTGATAATAGATTGTGGGCCAAAACATTCTTTTCAGGGGAGTTGTATATAAGTTGTCAGGTATATGGGGTGTGTTCCCTTTGGGCGCCATAGGTGTCTCCATAAGCAGAAATTGATGTATAACATATTAGCGCCTAGTATTATAGCCATATATAAATTCTTATGCACTTATGGAGGCTCTGTGCATATATATATGTAAATGGAGCTAATTAGTAGCCAAAATATATATATATACGTGTCAGCTGAGCTATATATTACTTACTGCTGCCATACGGTCACTCTCTACAAGTCAATGCTGTCTACTGCATATATACATAAGAATTCATCAGCTGTAATGCGAACCGGCTAACACATTCATGTACATGTGCAAGTGTCCATTATTGGCGAGCGGGAGCGAGCCAACCTAGTTGTTTGTTCGGGCGGAATTTTCTGTATTATATATAATATTTATTTATCGTACGTCGTACGTCGTGTAAGTGCCCATGCGCGGCTTCGTTACATGCATGCACACACGTGTGCTAATCTGACAACCGTGGCAACCATGGATCATCAGTCTACAGAGGATGCCCTTCGTCGTCGAAGAGAGCGGGAAAGAGAACGTCGTGCCCGTGAGACTCCTGAGCAGAGAGAGGCTCGGCTTTCTCAACGCCGACAGCGTGATAGGGAACGGGCAAAGGAACGCCTCGCCGCCGAAACAGCGGAGGGAAGGGAAGCACGAGTAGCGTGACGTCGTGTGAATAGGGAACGAGACTTATCCAAGTTCGTTCAGTTCCTATGCAGGCCAGTGCACCCCACCTAAGCAAGTATGGCTTTTGCCCAGAACAGTGGGATAAGTCCAGCTGGTGAAGAAAGTCCAGAGTCTCAAAGGAGTCCATTGCCCAGAGCAAGCTAAAGGGAAGTCCAACTGGTGAAAAAGGCCAAATGCCCTGGGTGGTTTGTGAAGAAATGCTATATACCCAAGTCCATTGCCCAGAACATGGTGAAGAAAGTCCAACTGGTGAAAAAGGCCAGTGCTCTGGGTGGTTGGTGAAGAAGTCCACCCCCAGAGCAGGGTGAAGAAAGTCCAGTTTTGTGGAAAAGGCCAGTGTTCTGGTGCTCTGGTGAAGAAGCATTGTTCTTCCACCCCCAGGGCAAGGTTAAAGAAGTACAGTTCGGTGAAGATGCTGTTCTTGAGCTAATGGTGAAGAACCCTCAACTCCAAAGAGGCAAGTCCAGCTGGTGAAGAGCATCTGTTCTGGGCAGTAGTAAGGAACAGTATTTTTATTAATGTCTATTATTCACACACTTCTTCTACATCTGTAATATATACACAGCCTCACGCTTCACGCAGACCACTGCCTCTCCGACCTCCTCGTGGTGTGGTCTGGGACCTTCAGTACAGTTAGTACTGATGCTAACAGGAGGGACTGCTGATGGCTTTATTATTGCAGTTTTTTTTTAATTCTCTTTTTCTGTCAATAATGTTAATGATATTATTATTATACGTGAATTTGTTCGATATTTTGCTGCTACGTGTTCTTGTCATAATAGTGGATAGCTACCATCAACATTATTTTAACAATACTTCTTACGCTCCCTTTCGGGTACATCTGTTGCTTCACGAAAGGAAAGCTGTGCGCTGACGGCACGTTATGCAGCCCCAACATCGCGGGCAAATCCTAAGTTGGGTTGCGGGATTTCCACTAGTAATATATTCACATACACACAAAGGTGGGTTGTTGGCGTTGCTCTCTATTAATATTGTGTGCACACCTATCCCTATTACATGTTGCGCATGCGGAAACGCTGTATGACATCAACGATAGTCTCAAGGCAAAAAGGCAAAGCAATGCAATAAAATTAATTATTCTGTATGCACAGCTGCTGGTAAAGTTATGTGTAAATACGTATGCATCGCAGCTCTTGAGATTATAGTGTTATTAAACAGGGAATAATACACAAAAGGATGAACAATCCAGCTATGACAGATTAGTGAAGTACCTATTGTAGTCAATTCTAAGCAAAAGCTGAGCTATGTGAGGTGCAGAGTGATGGTTCTTTGCAGCAGAGAGTACTCTAAACAAAAGTGATGACTGCCTCCTGAAGTCCTGTACAAAACATTTGTCTTCAATAGTATTTGTCACAAAAATTACAAAACTTATACCACAGATATGCGATGGAAAGCCTCTTGTTCTTTTGACGAAAACACAAACTCTTCTCTTCTCAGAGTCTGAATGAGCTCACTGAATGAGAAACACAACTCCAGTATCTCATAAACGCAACGCCGGATCTGTATGACATGTAATGTGGCAGTAAATAAGGGCTAAATCTACAAATGTTACTAAAGATAGAACAAAAACAAAAGGGTCACAGTGAAAGAATGCAATAGAGTTCCATCTTTAGTAACTACTCTAAAATTAGCCCTATATAATGCCACATTCCCTTTAATACAGTGTCCAAATAAGTGGAACCTCCGAGATATAACAGCTTTTGTCCCTTGTAGAGAGGTTGTCCCCATCTCCTTATAAACCCCTTTGGGGGGGTGTTTAAAACACGATTTTGCATGAAGAGTGATTATAGTCTTACACTGTGCAAGGTGTGCGCATGAAAAGCGAGCAGATTGTGGCGGTGGGTGCAGTTTCCCTGTCTTTGCGCTGGCATTTGCTGTTGTCGCTGGGGAAGTAGGCCAGCGTAAACCCATGCTGCCGATGATCATAGCTTGTGGCTCGCTCTTCAACCACAAGCAGACATGAGCTCTAGCACTCCACTCTCAAAAAAGTCCTTTCCATTATATCATAATATTATCGCACCGCTTAAACTTTTGCAACAGTAGCCATGTTAATAGGTAGCAAAATGCACATTCTGAACACCCCAGAGATTCTGCGTATTAAAGAGCCAAACACCTGTGTTTTGCCTTTTAAATGCAAAGTGCACGTTTAAAGGGCCTGAATTCTGGAATTTTGGAAAGAAGTTTATGTGCCAAATAGCGAACCGAAAGACCAAAAATATAAGAGTATAGGTGTCAGTTTCTATAATGACTTGTTGAGGGAAGTTGACTATTCCTTGATTGGGAAAGATGAGCTTTTGTTTGGTAGCTGTAGATCTGTGCATTTGCAGTCATGACATCTGAGTTCGGCTACACACAAAAGTTGGTTCACATTCGTTTCCTCTTGACCTGGGTAAATCAGAGCGTCGGTAGGTAGATTACACAAGCAAATTCTTAAGTGATTCATGTACCAAAAGCCGGAACTGGGCAAAAACAACCGCTGAGCCTTAAAAGCGGTAGTATAGCCCATGGGCACAGTACGTGGCAATGGCAATGCATGAACCCAAACACCTCATATGTACCTTCAGTTTAACAAACCAGAAGTCGCTCACACATGAATCGCACGATACCCGTGTCATCATATTCTTCATCTTATTCTTCTTCAGTAAATCTGACAATAACAAGTTGAAGCTCTATTTTGAAATGTCTCCAAATTCGACGGAGGTGTTCACAGTCATCTAATTTCTTATAGTTTGTCACTACAGCAGATCTTACACCTTTTCCACGGTAGACACTGAACTATGCCATTTTGCATCAGCAATCGCGAACGAAGCAAGGATGTGTTCTTCCTTGCATGCGCGTGCCCTCACTCTGTTCGGCATGCACACGAGGCCCTGCAGGTGAGCCTGTCTGTATACATAAAAGACCCCGCAAGCACAGTAAACCCGCTCTCTTTGTTTGAGCACCCGCGACATATTTGGTCGTTATTGGACATAATTATTGGGGATTACTGCACTGGGAAGCTGTGCTGCCACTTAAAATGTTGTCGCCAGTAAGTGTACTAGTTAAAGATTGTGGTCGCCATGGAAACTATGTGCGCACCAAGTTTAACCTCCATGCGTGCTACAGTTAGCAAGTTTGAGGAGTGAAGAAGTAGTTTTAAGGAAAATTGCCTGTGGCTTTTTGAAACAATATGCGGTCGTCATGGAAACATGTAATCGTCATGGAAATGAATTGGCATACATACCAAGTTCCACCTCCATGCGTGCTACAGTTAGCAAGTTTGAGGAGTGAAGAAGTATTTTTAAAGAAAAGTGCCTGAGGCTATTTGTTGTTGTGGTTGTCATGGAAACGATGTACACCAAGTTTCACCTCCATGCGTGCTACAGTTAACAAGTTTGAGGAGCGAAGAAGTAGTTTTAAAGAAAATTGCCTGAGGCTTTTTCAAACGATACGCAGTAGTCATGGAAACATGTAATTGTCATGGAAATGATATAATAGGCATACATACCAAGTTTCATCTCTATGCCTGCTACCATTGGAAAGTTTGAGAAGTGAAGAAGTAAATTTAAAGAAAGGTGCCTGAGGCAATTTGTTGTTATTCACAAACATGTATTTTTGTGATTATAATGTTGATGATCGAATTATGCATACAAATTTTCGTTAACATAGCTCTTACCAATTGTGAGTTACACTGACACGTGTAGTGTGCCCATTATAACGTATTGCCCATTATAATGTATTGCCTGGGCTGTTGTACAGTAAACAACATTGTTTACAAACAAAAAAAGTATGACATTGCACATGCGGTTATCGATATGTACATTTCTACAAAATTTCATGGCTTTATCTCTTTCGGTTTTTGAGTTATGTTGCTTTGGTTTAAGAAGAAGATGAAGATGATGATGATGAACAAAACTCCCTATCATAGCCCCATACATCTATATTTAACCCTCGGCACGCATGCGCAGCGAGGGTTACGGTACTTGGTCCGTGAGTCTGTCTGTCCGTCTCTCCACACGAGTTCTTGCACTACAGGCTACCAGGCGGCGTAACAGCGATACTAACGGGTTCATCGCTACACTGGCTTCATTTTAAAAAAAGGCGATGTTCGTATAACTACGGCGTTCAAAAGTTATGGCGTGAAAAGCGAGTGAACAAGCCAATATGCAAATTAGCACAGGCCTACCTCGACCGGGTCCGCTTGCTCTGTGTATCTTGAAGGCACAATAAGTCACAACGAAGGGCGTGTATCGACTCCCGCATGCTATCTACTACTGTAGCTAGCCCGTGTCAGACTCTCCGCGAGCTATACCAGCGTGGAGACCACGAGTAAACGCATAACAAAAGCCCAGGCCATCAATTAGTGGTACCGCGAGTGCGCAGCTCGCCGAGGGTTTGCACTTTAGTGCTTTTCATATACTAAGTACTAGTGATAATTCATCGTGAATCTTCTTCCTACATAATGTAGCTGCTCCTTTTGGAAGTGCTGGACATGTCTCCGTGCTAATACTGGCCCAATTTTTGTTCTGCTGGGAGTTCTGGCTCAGTGGCTTGTATGCTATTACCATCCACTGCTGTTTTTTTAACTACTGGAGTATGTTAGTACTGTTTAGGAAAAATTGCTGCTAGCGAATTCAGTTTCTCTTTGGTGCCAGGGTGAAGCCACTGGCACAGTACTTTGTGGGCTGCTATGCCAAAAGGGAGGGAGTAAATGTAATTTTTACCAACGGACAATTAAGAAGTATTTCAAGAGTGTGCAGGCCAACATACTAGTTGACCCTTAAGTGTTATTGAAACTCAAAGAAGAGTTCAAGTCCCTGCACACTTGTGTAGCAGATAACTGAGTGGAGCGGAGTTGGAACAGTAGCAGTAATCTCTTAGCCTAGTCTGCTTATCAGTGGTCACTCATGAAATTGGTGGGACATTGCCCTGTAAAACTTGAAGTCAACCATAATCATAGCTGCTTACACTAATTTTCCTGTTTACAGAAAGTTTTTGACTCTGTAACTTCTGCTCTGAGTTTTGTAGGTGATCATTATCAGCAGCTGAAGGGAGGGTACTACATGTTTACTTTACCCAGAATGTTTGGGCTTTAGACACTGTCATTCAGCAGTTATCAGCTCAACAGGCAAGCCTACCCATGCTCTCCTAGGTCCTCCTACACCAGGCAGGTATTTGGGTAGCACACCTATAACTACTACTCAATCTTATTTTCCTGACTCTCATATATACTACTCTATCTCCTCTCATGTTCTGAAGGGTTTTACTTTACTCAAATGTCATCACATCACTTGCTTTGAAAGATAGACCTGTGGAAAGAAAGCAGAACTCTCCTGCACCACTAACACATTTATTCCATGAAAGTATTAGACCATGTGATGTGATGCCAAGAGAAAAAAGATGGGAGCTCTGGACAGCTGTTTCAGGCTTGTTGGCCCTCAACAGCAGAGCATACGCAACTTCTCTCTCTGGCATCATGAGTTTATAAAGGCTACCCGGAGCACAGGTTCTGAGCTAACGAGATTCATCCACACAAGGCTTTGCCACTGGTATGTGCTGCTGACCATGCCCAGACATTCGTGGTTTTGAGCATATGCCCCTCCCCACTCCTGCTGGTCAAGGCCAGCACCGAGCCTAAACCCGAACTCGCATGGCATTGCACACACCATAATGGTTCTAAAAACCCGAAGTGAGCTGTGCATTGCAAGTTTTCCCGGTGCAAAACGAGCTGAGGAACTGAAAGCTGTTGCACCCCAATGTCTGTTGCCAGTGGATAAGGTTTTTTTTGGCAACAGAGGACGTGGGGCAGCTAAAGCGGCAAGATCATACATTAGATAGGCACATTAGTGATACTACACACTCATCCTACAATCCCAAGCAATGTCCCACAGACACCGATAAGCTCATTTTCCTATAGACACAATGTGAGGTAGCCTAATCTCATCTCCAGCCTGCGGAGGACTTCCGTACGGGGTTTGTCCACTGCAGTCATTGCAGACCAACATGCAATCCACCCTTTTCAATCCTGCACCGGTCTTAGACGTTCTAGCTAAGGAATCTGCGGCCAACAGAGTTCTGGGGCTGTTACCCATAGTACTTGAATAATTCATCCTTATAAAATCGTTTAGGGGTGATACCCAAAGTCATCATGCAAAAAATGGCAGCTCATCCTGGATTTGTCGTTTACACCCAGAAGGAGCGTCATTGATGGGATCCTAGGTGACCTACAGATCACCACGGTGGACAAGGGACTCATCACCCAGCTAGACCAAGTAGCCAAAAGAACAGGGTCAGGAGATTATGTTCATATTGACATTGAGCTGGATCATTTTTCTCCTTATGCTGAAGAAGTTTGCGTCTAACTGACGTGCTAAATCCAACTACCATATTAACTGTTATTTGCACTATGCCATTTATGTTCAGACCAATATGCATAATATTGGTTACCTGCTATTATATTACAAGGGCAACAAGGTAGTACTGTTCCTGCTCAAGACTTTGTGTATAAACTGTGTATGTCAACAACTTGGTAGCGAGCAAGGCAAGGCAAACAAGTCAACTACACCCAGGACAGCTCTTTCTTTTCAAAGAAAAGAAGAAGAGTTGCCCTTGGTGGGATTCGAACCCACAACACTCTGCAGTCTAAGTGAGCGCTCTACCAACTGAGCTACCAGGGCAACTCAGCTGGTAGGGGTTCGAATCTACAACACAACACAACACAAAGGCACACCTCAAACCACTGTGCTATGGCACAGTACACTCTCACTCAGTATGTAGGAGCAGACCGGGGTAATTAAAACACCAATGACGCCCAACTCCAAACCGAGTATATGCATGACTCAACAACTTGGTAGCGAGGTAGAAAGGCAAGGCAAGGCAAACAAATCAACTACACCCAGGACAGCTCTTTTTTTCCAAGGAAAAATAAAGAGCTGCCCTAGGTGGGATTCTAACCCACGACACTGCAGTCTAGACGAGCACTCTACCAACTGAGCTACCAGGGCAACTCAGCTGGTAGGGGTTGGAATCTACAACACAACACAACACAAACGCACACCTCAAACCACTGTGCTATGTATGGTGTAGTTGACTTGTTTGCCTTGCCTTGCCTCTCTACCTTGTTATCTAGTTGTTGAGATCCTACGGCTATGTTCGTACAGTGACGCTAAGACCTGCCGAGACCAACACTTTGCTAACTCGCCGTTCAACTGCTCTCGTCGGCTGATACGTACATGCAAGAAGTTGTCGTGTCACCTACATACTTCTGCTACTCCTTGTACGATCATGGTACATGAACAGATCGGACCTCCAATTAACGCACGCCATACCACTACGACCGCGTCGCCCACCATCCTGCCATCTTATACAGTTATCTCTGCTCCAGAATCTTGCTGTACCGCGCATAGACCAAGATATCCACGTTTCAACCACAGACCTGCTGCGGTTAGCGAGAATAATTGGACAGATGGACACACAGACCAATTACAATAACTCTCGCTGCGCATGCGCGCAGGCGAGGGTTATTGAAGTGAGCAGGTAAGGTTTTAGCATCGTTGGTAAACCTACGTAGCTCATCATTAGGAAGTTGCTCTTTGGAAGGATCGTAAATTCGCCAGTTCATCACGCTCGTTCATGTGCAGGTAGAAATGAACATGCCTCCAGCCCTTAGCGAGCAACTTTCAATGCTCTAAAGTAGATAATGTCTTTTAATATAGATGTTCGGCCTCTCTGTGAAACCCGAACACCCACCCACCATAGCTAAAACCCATATCTGGGACTTTGCCTACTATACAGTCCTGCACAGCCATAAATTATATGATATATGCCATAAGCAGTCTGAAGGAGCATTTTAAAATCTCACTGGTTCTGTAAAGAAGAGCTGCGACTGAAGTGTCTTGACAAAATCACTGTGGGCAACTTTGACAGCCTCGAAATCATGGGTAGATTTGATCCTGTTTAGAAGTTGTGAAAACTGTGTCTCCAGTACATCTACCTGCAGAAAAAAAGAACAAGTTAACTATCCAATTATTGTAATTGTCATACTGGAGGCAGTTATGGCAGTCTAAGAGACCTGTTAGTTTTTGATTCTGGAGGGGCTTGCAGGTTATGAAGAAAATTGACAGCATAACTTAGACCATTGTTACCCTTGTAAAAAGCTACATTATTCTCGTTGTGTATGTGAAAACTACGAGGTAGAAAGGCAAAGGCACAACAAACAATTCGACTACACCCAGGACAGCTCTTTTTTCCCAAGGAAAAATAAAGAGCTTCCCTAGGTGGGATTCGAACCACTGTGCTATGGCACAGTATACTCTCACTTAGCATGCAGGAGCAGACCGGGGTAATTAAACCACCAATGGCGCCCAACTCCCACGAACAAGATAGTATATGTGTTTATAGTCAAGCAGCAAGGTCATGGTATGTGTTGTGTCTTTGCTGTCGTTCAGTCCTTAGGATCATTCTAACCACTAAACTCAGGACACTTATTGGATTGCTGGCAGTTACAAATGCTTACTAATTTTCACACATCACTATAATATTAATACTTGCCTACCAGCAAACTAAGTATCTCTTAAATAGCTGGATGTACAGTAACTGTTTCATAACTCACATTTTAACCCTCAGTGCGCATGCGCAGCGAGGGTTACGGTACTGAGTGTGTCTGTCATTCTGTCTGTCTGTTGAAGCCACCATGCGCAAGAATTCGGCCAAAGGGCGATAGTTTTGCTAAACCGGCTTGAATCTAAAAAAGGTGATTTTCATAAAAATACTGCGTTCAGAAGTTATGGCATGAAAACCAAGTGAACAGCCAATATACTAATTAGCACGGGCTTACCTCGACCGGGTCCGCTTGCTCTGTGTGCACAAGAAGTCATAACGAAGGGCATGTATCGACTTCCACATGCTATGTACTGCTGTAGCTAGCTCGTTTCAGACTCTCCGCGAGCTACTAGCAGGAGACCACAAGTAAATAGCCCAGCTGATCAATTAGCGATACCGCGTATGCGCAGTGCACCGAGGGTTTGTACTTTAGTGCTTTTCATACTTTTGGTAATGGGATCACGCACTGCTATAGACTTGGTCACTCAAAGCCCCACACAAACTAGACTACTGCAAAAGATACACAGAAATAAAATACGCTTCATAAATGGCCCGATCAGTTTTCCCAGCTGCCCCGTGTTTATTAGGCTCATGTTATGACCATTAAAGTTGTGGGATGATTAACAAAGATGGTAAGTGCTGACATGGATAGCTTTCTTCACCATTCTGCACATTATATACATTTACACATAAACAAGTACGTAAGTTAGCACTAACCTGTACATAATACTGTAGGTTATCAATTAGGAACCCCATATGAGTTCTTAACTGCCAAACTGCTTGTAGACAATGAGCCCCGGTTCGAATTGTCATAAGTGTTGCCCAACACTGTTGTAAATAGGCTTGTGCCCGTCTTAATGACAGCAAAAAGTGGAACAATGCTGAGTACCTAAACAAATTAGGTTGTGTGACAAAAACATACTTTAAGATTAATCCAATTGTTGATATTAAGAATAATCACTAGAGTTTTCCCAAAGCTACCACTGGTGATTACAGTACACACTTACACATGCATGTTACCTAGTGCGTAACACACAGTGTAAAAAGGGGTGTATGTATAGAATCGTGTGTTAAAAATTGAACCATGAGCAGACAGATTACTCATGCCATGCTGTTCATTCACTGTCTTTGTCTTGTTGTCACATGGGTTGGTACTTATGTAGCCAAAGGACACACTACTTTGCCTTTAGAAGTAAGCAATAAGCAGCTGTTCAGGTTAGCCAGTACAAGCATAAACATCAATGCTAGGCTTCATGAATGACAGCGCCCAGCAAAGCAAAGAGCCCCATAGGACTGCCCATTCAGAGGTGACCATTGTCCCTTAGATACAAACCTGTCCCATGCTGACTCGTGTTTAAAATCCTTGGGGTTGGTCCATTACCAACAGCTTGGAATCTAAAACCTCATTTAAGCATTTGGCAGGTTTCCCGATACGTAGCTTTCTTTGGGCATAATACAAGCTGCTAGAGGGTAAAAAAGAGACAGACACCCAAACACACCCACACACACACACGTATGACTGCAAACCTGGTTGCATATGCCTACTGAGGGTTAGATAAAAGGTCATCTTGTCTCTTATTAACCATCGGCGTGCATGTGCAGCGAGGGTTATGATACTTGGTCGGCGTGTCTGTGTGTCTGCGTGTCTGCGTGTCCGTTCCTGTTTTCTGCCACTAGGCGCAACAAGATTGCCAAAAGTCTACGCCAACGGGTTTGGCACTACATTTGCTTGATTTTAAAATTCGTAAAAACAAAGTTATGGCGTGAAAACCAAGTGAACAAGCCAATGTGCAAATTAGCACAGGCCTATCTCGACAAGATGTGCTTGCTCAGCGTACCTTGGAGGCTCAAGAAGTCTCAACCGAGGGAGTGTATCGACTCCCGCATGCTTTCCACTACCGTAGCTAGCCTGTGTCAGACTATCCGCAGGCTACTAGCGGAAAACCACGAGTAAACGCATACAACGGCCAAGCCCATCAATTAGCGGTATCACGCAAGCACAGTTCGCCGAGGGTTTCAACTTCAGTGGATTACAGTCTTTATACTATATTATTATCTACTGTTGGGGAATAAAAAGGAAGCTGCTCACAACATATTTTCCTAGATACGAGGTTGCTAGGTAATGCATTTGGCACGGCGACATCAAGACATGTACTATGGGGAACAAGGTGACAGTCAGTGGCAGTGAACGCTGTCTAAGGACCCAGGTAATGCAGCAGGTAGGGCAAGAGCAGCAGCCCTTTCATTACCAATGTACATGTTTAGGCCCTTTAAGTTTAAGTCTTTATTGGCCATTAAATCTTCAACATAGCACGGAAGCACGTGCCATGCATCTGGCTATGACACTCAGGGCGGGCTCTCGATAGTACTGGCTGCAACTCATACTGCACGACTATCTCAACCACGCCCCTCATACTATTAATAAGCGCTGACACCTACAAAGCAAGATGGTATGTAGACTGTCTTACTTTTCCAGGGTAGCTGGTGTTAACACAACATGTAGAGGCCATGAAACCTTGTGTGACATGCCTACATACTTCCAGGAATTTGTCATCTTAGACTTTAAAGACACTCCACTAGATTGCACAGGTGGAAGGGAGAGAGTCAGTTCAAACTGCTTAGCAAGTTCTTCGTGATCCATTGCTATCTTGATCATCGCTTGTCGAAATGCAACATTGATATCTGAAACAAAAGACACAGAAAACACAAGAGGGGTTACGTCATAATATGCTCAGGAAGAGTTGGGAACACCTCCCAGTTTGCACATGAAATCTCCACAGACATAGGTGCATAAGGTTTTTCACATGAGTGTTTTGTCGTCTTAAATATAAAGCACTGTTTGTACATGATGACTTTATTCATGTGAAAATGCCCGAGGCTCATTTCCAAGCTTATTACGGACAGCAAAAAGTCTCAGCACACTACAAATGTAAACGTATGTATTCGTTAAAAACAGCATGTGTCTGCAAGAGTCCACAAAATAATTGATTGAGCTAGGTAAACTATCAACTAGTTGAATGCTAAGCGTACTTGGCGAGCAGGAGCGATCCAGCTGGAGGTATGAAGCTGTTGGTGTGCATGCACAGGGAATAGTCACATGCTGCTGGAGGCGTACTTGTTGTGCATGCGATGCTGGCGAGAAGGGCGTGTTTCCAGTCTTAGGCTGCTAGACGCTGTCTCCTGCGAACTATGTATCGTGGTCCTTGGTTGTTTCAGAAGCGAGAGGCTGCCTACTGCGAGCTCTGCTGTTGTAAAAGGACCTACAGTATGCCGGGGACACGCAAGATTCACACTCGTGTGAGGTAATTTTGAATTGGGGCTGCCCATTAATACCTATAACATAACGGTATGTGTGGCATCGCCGGATAGAGAAAATCGGCCCATTGCAATAACTAGGTTGGCTCGCTCCCGCTTGCCAATTATACAAAAGGTACATAGCTTCAGAGATTTTTTAGCATTTCAGGTATCACAAGACTTCATACTCACTTTGTTAAAAATTTTGTAACCCACAGACAGTCTGACAGACAGAAAGACAAACAAACCTCAAGTACTGTAACCCTCACTGTGCATGAAAAGTATATTTATAGCATACTAGCCACAGAGAATAGAAAAAGAAAGAAAGAAAACCAGAAGTCACCCTCCACTCCCCATCCTCCACCCATACACAGACACAAACAACACAGTTGCACACAACACGGTAGGACACCAGGTGCCCAGCCTTGAGAACTGGGGCGGTGGGTTAAAGAGCCTTTTATGGCATGCCAACTCTCCCCACACACCTAGTGTCCAAACCGAATGACAAACAATCACAATGACAGTTACTATACATAAGCAGTAGAAAATATATTTGTGTAAAAAAGAAAGAGGGAGTAAAAAACTCTGTATAATAAGTCCGTAGAAAAATAGACAAAATAGAAATATATATAAAATCTGGAAAGAGAGAATAAAAACTTACGTGCATGAGCACTAGAGCGGCTTTGCAATGATTCTATTTAGTGCACAGTTGTATGCACGCGTTGTAAAATAAAAAAACGTATCGTTTAAATAGATCTGCGTGAGACGTGGCAACTCTGGAACGGGTCCATTGCTGGTAAACATACACCATGCATGCTGAGGGTAAAGCTGGGTTAAGAATGTCACGCTGCCCTGTCACACCGTTTTAATCACGTATGTCCCGGGATCTGTTTTAAGTCATAACTTGGCAACCGTGCAAACAAGTGATGCAAGAGAAAAAGAAATGGAGCACTGTTCAGGGCTTGATAGCCTTTACAAGCAGAGCATACCACACATCTTTCTCTCATACATCTGAGTTTATAAAGACTACTGTAGTGGAGCACTTTGTGGTTCTCACACAAGATCACAAACCATGCTGTGTAGTACTAGTTGGTGACTGCTTCATTAATATATCAGCCATATCAATGAATGACAAGAATAATTCTCCACGGCCAAGTAGAAATATGTCCTTCATAACCTGGAGTGGGAAAACAGCAGTAATTTTGAGCATTGCTACCAGCTTGTGTAATACCCTCACTTTGTAACATAAACCAAGTTCTTTACTGTTAACTGAGCAAACCTACCTACGTAGTCGCCTAAATGCGGTATTTTTCTGTTTGTTGTTTGTCTGATGCAGTCACAATACTCTAAAGCTACGTGTACTAGGTCTCCAGGCTTGTCGATTAAGTAAGCTAAGAAACATTGTTCTTTCACTCACAATTTTTCAGTGTTGAATATACGTATCCCTATGTGTAGTATAGCCTCACCACGTAGCTTCACTTTGTATTGAAGTCTGTGGGCGCTATGCAACTGGAAGTATATACTCCGGAAGCTAAGACTACCTTGTTTCTAAATGTGCTGTCTAGAAACCTAAACATGCATCACTGGGCACAAGTAGAAAAATCCCAATTTGCATGCAATAATACTTAAAGCAGTTACACTATAATGCATATACCTACATGCAAATGGCCAACCAAGTTTGATTCTTCAACAAGAAGTCTCCACAAATGCTGCACCAATAGCACATGTTGAAATGACACACAATGTAGGTACCTACACATTACCTGTGCAACAACATTCCTAATGTATTCAATTTTGTTTTCAAAGTCACGTAATTGAAGGATAGGTTGATTTTGTAACACAGTCAGCATCCAGCTGAACTTCATTAGGTCTGCACGAAGTTGATATCCTATAAAATAAAAAAGACATGGCACAGTTACCAATAAGCTATCAAACATCGGACATACTGCTGTAACAACGAAATGAACTGGACACAACGAATGGATGGATGGTGTAATCACAACACTATTCAATGTAATTTCAGAGGGTTTAATTACTGTAGTCTCCTCCTACATTAAGTGAAAGGTTTCCATTAGATAGTAAAGAGTGTGGGGTTTGCCAATGTCTTTGTGTTATGCTGCATTGCCGACTGCTCGGCTGCGCTCAGTGGCAAAGCACTTGTCTTAAAAACAAGTGTTTTTTTTGTTCAATTCCCAATCAGGAAAGCCTTTTGTCTAAGTATCATGGAATTGCACTGCTAAAGCTGCATAGCATATCTGAATAATAGGAGTAATGGGAGTGCATCAGTCATATAAACAAAGTGATCTCAAGAATAATAGAGGTTGGACGAGAACTAGGTCAGTTTCTTTTGCAATCCATAAACGCCATAAACATCCAAGTAAGGCGTACATGATCAAGAAAAGCTGTAGAGCTGGACATTCAACCATAGGATCAGGAAAGTCAAAAAGCTGGATATCCTGTCAGAATACCACACGGGTAGCTGCAAACATCCAACCCATGAACTATGCTGCCAATGAGCTAGTACTTGTATACCTGTGCCTTTATGATGTTTTCTTCCTCTTTTTAGACTATATGGAGAAAGCCTTATTCGTGGGCAGTCATAGGTAGGAGTGCAGACTTGCCAGTGTGTGGTACACCATCCACCAAGACAACAACCAGACCAGCTGGAACTGTCGATGAACCAACTGGCAGTGAAGCCGCCCTCATTTCCCAGAGCACCTTCCAAACCGTGATTCCTCACATGGGCTGTGGTCGGTAGGAAGCCCACAACAAACGCAACGATAATCACTGCCAGTGTGCTGGATCCTTCCCGTATTACCACGGCCTCAGGAGAACCAAACACACCTGTATGTATGCATTTAGCAGGGTCTGGGTCTAGGATGTGTGTATGTCGTTTTTACCACAGGTCACAAAACATCTTAGCATGGCAGGGGAGAGGATAGCACCACCACCTTTTAGGCACCTGGAGGGGCAGTCGTCGGGCAGTCGTCAGACAGTCCCTACCTCTACCAAGACCACCAGGACCAGAAACTTATGCCGGCACAAAGCCTGGGTTGAAACCTCTACAAAGACCACCAGGACCACATAAGAGTGCCAAGAGCGTGCTTGAAGAACGTCGATTTGACCTGGCTCTGTGGTTCATGCAAACACTAGCACTGCATCACACCTGTTGCCCTTTAGCATCTGTTAGCTGTTTTATTGTTAACCCTCGGCGCGCATGCACAGCGAGGGTTACAGTACTTGGTCTGTCCTTCCGTCTGTCCGTCAGTCTGTCCGTCCGTCCACGTTTTCTGCCACCACGCGCAACAAATTGGGCAAGAAGCGACACCAACGGGTTCAGCGCAACACTGGTTTCATTTTTAAAATGGCGATTTTTGTAAATGTGCCGCGTTCAGAAGTTATGGCATGAAAACCAAGTGAACAAGCCAATACGCAAATTAGCACAGGCTTATATACCTCCACCAGGTCCGCTTGCTCTGTGTACCTTGGAGGCACAAGAAGTCTATGGGGCGCCGTCTGTCTCAAAATTTTGCAAATAGCTGTTTTTTGTTATCCCGCGCTTCATTTGTAAAATCCGCGCCGGTTATACAAATCCCTTCTGGATTATACACACCCCGGACTGGATATAGCATATCCCACACTGGATATAGCATATCCCGCACTGGATATATAAATCCTGCACTGGTAATAGCATATCCCGCTCCGGATATATGAATCCTGCACTAGATATAAATCCCGCACTGAATATATATCCAGTGCAGGATTTATATATCCGGAGCGGGATATGCTATATCCAGTGCAGGATTTATATATCTGCCGCGTGGTGCATGCCGGGAGGACTTTCATACAGGGAATAATTGACCTGTCGTCCACTGCCACGGAACTCCATCACTGGAATAAATGCTTTCGGCTAGACCTGAGATGTCTTTTCTTCTGTTGCCCATTACCAACTGGTCTTAACCCCAGCACATACACCGGGAAAACAGAACGTGGCTGCTGATCACTTATCGAGGGATGCCCTCTCCTCCTTTCTCCAGCTGATTCTGGGTGAGAAGGAGGATCAAACCCCGCTCAGAGTAGACCTGATGGCGGCTCTGGTGACCAATCAGCCAGACTGGACGTCGGAGGGTTGGAGGAGTGGTGCTGTGTACGTTTCGTCCCAGAAGGCGTACAAGTCTGGCGAGAATCGCTATCTTCGTTTTTGTCGGTCGGGTGACTGGACACCACTCCCTCCATCAGAGGGTACACTCTGCAAATGTGTGTCATTGTCAGCTAGTGAAGATTTGAAGCACCGTACGATTAAGACCTATTTGTTGGGCGTTCAAATTCTTGTCACATAAGGTCAGGTTTTCCCGACCAGTTTCTTTCGCACATGCCACGATTATGCTACACGATGAAGGGCGTCAAGAGGGTAGAGGCGGAGAGGGGCGGAAGCCAGAGGACGAGGCTCCAAATGACGCCGCCGTTGTTGCGCGTGGTGGCAGAAAACGTAGTAACAGACGGACAGACGGATAGACCAAGTACTGTAACCCTCGCTGCAGATGCGCGCCGAGGGTTAATGACCACTAACCTACCCATGTGTTGCCATGGATACACATGGAAACAAACAACCCATTTTACGAGCTCCTTTGCAGAAAAACAAATCACTTGTACATGAAAACAAATCGTTTTACAGGATGTCCGCAAAAGAGGGAGTATTTCTGGTATTGCAACCTTATCGGAAGACATGTACTTGGATGAGGTGTACCGCACAGGCGCAGATTGAAAGTATGTTCCAGCAGATGTGAAACCCTAAAGTAGGCACTTAGTGGGCCAAAAGTTCAGCGGGGCACAGGTTATAACATCCACCCACAGAATTCCTGTGTAGTGTATACCTTTAGTGGCAATGTTGATACCCTTCAAATTCCTCGTCCAATTATGATTGAAAAGGGCGGCGTTGACAGTTTCACAATGTTTTCAGGAAAAAATTACACTATTGGAAGACATTGTTTTACCATATGGTTGATATTATATTGCAACAATGTCTGGCCTACTGAGAACAAATTTTATGATCACCTTGCGTTACAGATCGTCAATGCGTATGGGAGAGAGAAGAGAGATGAGCCTCGTCTTGGATGGCCTACCTGCTCCGAACGCAGGATAAAGCATGGCAGCATACTCTATCCTCAGCAGTTACGATGCCAGTATCACTGGGTTACTAAAAAACTACCACCTGGACACAACGAAAATGTCCAGATTGTATGTTTCAACCGGCACTTTGCCAGACACTAAAAATGGATTGCCACAGTTAGTGGCATGAACCCCCTTTGATGCTAGAATAGAGGCATGGTTCAGTAGTCACCACAGAAAGGCCGAGGAAGGTCAGGTCCGTCGCATGTGCAGTCTGAACATACAGAGGATAGTCAGGTAAAAAATATGCCCCACGGCTAAGTAAACAAACGAAGAAGAGGAAATTACCAATCAAAACTCTAATATCAGTTTATCATCTTAATTTCCACTGCGTCATCTACAAATATAACATTTTATTCCACTGTATTGCAATGCCAAACATACACGTGTCACTATATTGTCACTATGTGCCCAGTGTTGTATTGTGTTGTCACAAGTATGTACACACGTTTGTCATTGTGTGCACAGTAACATATCATCTGTCACAAGTACACATACGTCACAATATTCATGGGAGACTGTACAGTATAACTGCATTATCACTGTGTACACATGTGTAAGTGCAGTATGATTTTTCCACCTTATTGCAATTATGGGTGAAAGGCTAAGTGAATATGCTAAAGTGTTCGCCTACGATCAGAAAAATATGGGTAGTTATGTCTGAAGCCATATACGAACATATAATTTTAATTGTGTGCTGAATGTATAAATTGGCCTAGTCACTGAAGTATAAGTGAAGCTAGAGCTTCTTCTGCCTGAGTGCCAAGATGAGAGTTCCATGTGCTTTGTAACTGTTGCTTTGCAGGAATAGGTATAGTAGGAGGACAGTATTTAATATCCGTTCCTGGGACCACCCTGATCTAAAATTGAATCATCGGCAAAAATGCAAAGTAAATACCTTTGCTTCAGATGGCTCAAATTTTTTACGGCACGTAGCAAGGTGTACTGATTGTGCCATTCCAGGGCTTCCACGGATTGACTGTTCGGAATTCCAGTAAGTAAATTTGGTGCGGAGACAAGGGGAATGCAGAGGGGAAAAAATTGCTGCATTCATACCGTAATTTTACATCCCCATGGTACACAAACAGAAGAAAGTCGTTGAGGCAAGCAAGAGTATATTGGCTTCTTCACTTGGTTTTAGCACCATAACTTTAGAAAAAAGTGTCTTAATAAAAATCACCAAATTTAAAATCAAGCCCGTTTGAATCGTTATTTGACTGGATTTGTTGTGCATGGTGGCAGAAATGTGGCGAGAGGCAGATGTAAGGCCATGTACTCTAACCCTTAATGTGTGTGCGACTCGAGGGATAATATTTGGTTTTCAAGAAATCACAGAAAGACCATTGCAATGCACGGGTATGACACATTCCATCGTTGCTGTATTACGCACTCACACATGGGCATCAAACAAGTGCCGCCATGAGTAACACGCGACTGGCATTACACATCGAACAATTTATTTCGTCAGGTCCTGTCGAGGAGAAACCACAGACTTGCTTTTTGCTGTCTATTCATAATGCAAAACCCGTGTTATTGTACTACGGAATAAAAATCTGATTTGACAAAGGCCATCAATATAACACTAATACAACCCCCAAAGTGAGGACACAATTACAGTGCGTCCAAGAAGGTCTTTGAACATCCGTCTAATGCACAGACGTATCTGGACGTTTTCTCTGCCCACGCAAAAAAAACGATGTAAATTGGCGTTTGTCCATGTTCGTGAACCGCCTTTGCACTTTATGTCACGTTTGTGCATTCGCGTTCTCATTCGTTCCGTCTCCGTGTGCGTCCATGTCCTTGCGTGCATGAGCCTGCCCCAATACACTTGCGCAGTGCGCTGAATATCACATCGTCATTGTCGAGGTTGTATAGATTCTGGATTACAGGTAAGCAATCGTGACAGTGCTGCAACCTGTAGAACACACTGCCATTGGAACAATGGGTGCGCCAGCCATAAAATATCTGACATCCAGACACTTCATCGACGGACCAGGCCAAACACATACGTAGTTAATCACAAGGAGACTGCTGGCCCACGGGCTATATTGTGGCCATAGCAGCTAACCATCATAAATGCCGAGCCCAATCGCAACCAGTTGCCGTTCAAAAACACCAAGCCCGAGCGTGTGACCAGTAGCACACCGACCCAGTACGCGGTCACAACCGCCATTGTCATAATGTGTCCCTCCCTAGCTAAGGGGATGGGCTTGCTACGTATGTAAATTTTTTAGGCCTGGGCTAATAATCTGTCCAAATACTCAGCTTCTGCACTTTTTGCAAAGGTATTCATTGTATTTACAAGAAAGGATTGTGCAGTTGTACCTACCGGGAATCAGTGGAACAGCTGTTGTTAAACCAAGAAGGATTCAAAGTTACAAGAAGTGGAATTCATATGTTGTATACTACAACTGGAATGATATAATATGATCTTCCCAGTGAAGACCGTCAGAAAACAAACATGCAGGCATAGACAAGTGGCAGAGAGTAAGCAGTGAATTAAAATCATAACAACTTGAGACAGAAAGGAATTGCTACCTCCAGATCATCAAGTGGTAGAGATGTGCAAAGAATAGGATGGTAAGGAAAGACTAACCCGTTACATTAAGAGAAGCCAACAAACAGAAGAGGATGGAGCTTTATCAGCAAATGCTTATTATATTAATGGAAACTTTTCATGATATAATATTTACAGATCAAAAGCACTAAAGTGCAAACCCTCGGCGGAGACGGGCGTGCTCGCTAGAAAAGAACTCCATGTCACAGCAAAGTTGAGGAAGACCGCCTACATACACAATCTTCTGGAAAGGCTGCAGACAAGGTAAGCATGCTATGTACCAAGTGAGGCACATCTTTCACTGTGCATCTGCCATGTTTTAGCTCAAAAATAGGCTTGGTAAGGGATTAGAATATCTTGCGCATGCGAAAACAGATTGCGCCAGGCACAACTGTGCGCGCGGAAGTACGCGCATGTATTGTACTGCTAATTTACTATAATAACATGTGAGAGTCGATACACGCCCCGCATTGCAAACTCTGGTGCCTCCAAGTTACGCAGAGCAAGCACATCTCAGTGCTAGAGAGTGTACATCTAGAGGTAAGCCCATGCTAATTTGCATATTGGCTGGTTTTCACGCCGTAACTCCCGAATGCAGCAGTTTCAGAGAAAACCCCACATAGTTTTCGACCTTTATCCGACGCTGAATACGTGGTATCGTTTGTGGAGCAATTGATTGCTCGTGAAGTGAGATAGCTCGCAGACAGACAGACAGACACACACGACAACTACAGTAACCCTTGCTGCGCGTGAGCGCCGAGGGTTAACAATAAACAGCCTCATAGGAAATCTTACCATAAGAAAGGAGAGGCACGGCGGTTTAGCCCAAAACCAAAGCACCCAGTCAAGGTGTTCGTATATATAATTATCATCTAGAGGGGCAACAGATGCTTTCAGGGATAATGGACGCACAATGGCGTACATGGATTCTCTCAGCTTCATTAATCCCCTTCATGCAAAGATTTCCTAACGTACTTTTTCGCTTCCAACAAGACAATCATCCCAAACACACAAGTAGAGTGGCAAGGAATTCATAGCATTAATTGGTGGCGTACACCCGCTGAATGTCCTGACCTCACCCTACTGAACGGCCTAAGCTCTATTTGACATACCAAGCGAAACCTAGAAACAAGGAAGAACTGGTTAATGGAATCGTCTGTCTGGGTGTGTGTGTGTCGACGCTTATTCTGGCACTACAGGCTACGGGGTGGCGAATGAGCGATACCAACGGCTTCATAACTACCCGAACCTGAAAATTTATTAGGCGATTTCCCTGAAATGACTGCGTTCGAGAGATATGCTGTGAAAACAAGCGAAAAAGCCAATATGCACATTAGCACTGGGCTTACCGCAACCTGATCCGCTCGCTCCTGTGTCAGGAAGTCACAAAGCTTTCGGAGTGAAAAGCTCACACGTAATCAATGCAAGTGTTACATTGACCATCCCCACAAGGTGATACCAATTTTCATTGAGAAAGAAGGGCAGGCAGTTTTGGACGATGAAATCCATCGTCAATAGCCACCAATGTGTTGTTGCTATAGACAAGGATGAACATTTTGGTGCCAGAGTGGCAGGACGGAAAGTATGCGGGAAGAAAGAGCCCCGCCAATCAAGTTCGTAATATAATAGAGCCTACGCTCTCTGAGACACACGTGGAAGTTTGTGCAAGCATGTGTACATAGTACGCTTACAATGATGTATATATCTTATTTCAAGCTACTGAATTGGCTTACCTTCCTCTTGTCATTCTCTGAAGTACATAGAACTATTGGTTGGGAAGGCTACATCTGAGGAGGATGATGAGGAAGATATGGAGGGAGAGGAGGGAGATAGTGTTATACAATAGACACTGTGAAAGCTATGTTGGATCAGAAGGAAGTGTGAAAGTGTACAGAAGACCTCCTAAGGTTTATTGTACATAGAGATTTAGGCAGCCTCACTCAATAGCATGTTTAGTTCATCAAGCAGCATCTACTCTTCAACTCCCCATGGTCTTCGGTCACCAACTCGTCCTGGGTTGGAGAATCTGGACACATATCTTTGCTTACAGAGAGACCCCCCTCACTCCTACAAGTCTGATACCTCCTCCCAACAAGTCTGAATTCACGGGTGTTACTAATGAAAACTCAGAGGCAACACCTGGCATGGGAGCTGATGCTGAGAGTTCCTCAGCTTGTTACCACAACCAGACATCAAACCTGACATCAAACCTACAATTACTGGTAAAGTTAGTGAGAATATCATCCCTGGAGCTGTATATCAGAGGCTAGGTCTTAGCCGTAACCTAAAAAAAGAGGTTAACACTCTAGACAAAACCTAGCAGCCAGAATGGTGAAAAAGGTACATTCGAAGGAGCCGGAAACGTGCAACATGAACGGGAGAAAAGGGCTTGACCCAGATAGAATGGCATTGGTCAAACGCCTAACATACCATCACCGACAAGTAAAGCAAGGCGAAACTGAGGACGACAATTTGAGAAAAACTTGCATTATGTATAACACGAAATAAACGAAGTTTGAACACACCTTTCAGTTCCTTTTTGTGCGTTTGTGCCCGCACATAAGCGTTCCTGTCTGCGTTCGCTCGCGTTCATCCTTGACGTTCGGTTGCGTTAGATTACGGGCAATGATTAAAACGTCCACACACAAGTTGGGGGGGTGGGTGGGTGGATCTGGACGCGTGTTTTGTTCAAATACCTTTGGGATGTACTATACACACACACTACCATGCCCCACCTGAGCTGACGGAAAAGCTTGCAAGTGGTGGATGTGCACCACTGGCATGGAGTGTCTGGAAAATCTGCACAGCTTCACCAATGAATAAAATCTAAGAAAAAAACGTTCAGTAATCAACTTACTATAGCATGTGTTTTATCAAATATTCTCCTTATCCTGTGGCAGAGACGAAGAGAGAGAACTGCACGATATGAACCCACACCTTGCTAACAAGGCATTGGCACTACCACTACCTTAAATATAAGATGCTTTATGCAATGAGCAAGTATGATGTGGAAAACACTGGTGTTGTTGTTAACAATCCTTGGCGCATATGTACAGCGAGGGTTACAGTACTTGGTCTGTGAGTGTCTTTGTACGTAGCTATTCTGGCACTACAGGCTACTAGGCGGCCTATAACAGCTTCAGAGCTACTAGTGGGTAAACTACTTTCCTGCACAGACTGCGTTCAAGAGATATGGCGTGAAAACAAAAAAGAATTTGTGGAGTACTAAATGCTCAGAACCAACAAACTGTGTTCAGGTACTTGACACTATTAGAGTTATGGTTATGTGCACAGCTAGCAAATTCATTGATTCAGGCAAATCCCTGCAGTTATTTCTGGTAAGAGCAGCCAAACAACCATGATTAGCCTTACTTTTCAAGGAGTGACTAAAATCACCTTTTCAAGAACTGTTTGTGGCAGGTAGGAAGGGGCTAATTGGCCATTAATTCGAAATTCACTAGTAGCTTTTTCAGTTGCTGAAAATGGGCCTGCGGTGGGTGCCTCTTCATCGACTTCTCTTTGCTCCACCTGGTGTACATCACTAAACCTTAGTTATCTCACATTAGATACATTTACGTACCTCACTGCTTTGTGACAGTTCTATCTTTTCAATAAAGAACTCTCCTTTCTGATCTAAGAGCAAACCATGTAACATCCACGCAGAAAGCTGCTTATAAAACACATGGTGACAGGTATAAAGGATCCTGAAAGAGAAGGCAAAATATTTTTTAATTGGGCTAAAGTAAAAGTACTCACATAATGTAGACTGGTCATAAAACTTATATATATACTCCTTTAACATAAAAGTGTGAATCGTATTTCTAACGGGGCACTGTAAAGCGAGTGAGTAGTACTGGTAAGGTAAGTTGATTCACATGACCTCTATTAATAGAATGACATATTTTAGGAATACCTAGGCTTTTGTCCATGTTCAAAATTTTAGTGCCATCAGACAAGATACTCTCAAATAATTTGCACGCACGACCTCTATAAAATCATTGCTAAAGCCATGCAACTATTCCAGGTTAAATTCTCACCAATACCTACGTGTGTATGTAAGTACGTACGTGTCCATCATGCTTAGGAATGTCAATTACTGACTCATAGGAAGTCATCAATCATGCATTGGGCATGTGCGTGGTGCATGAAAATGTCCTGGTCGAACGCACAGATACACAGGAAAACAAACAACACAGAGAAAGAAAATGGGCGTGTGTTCGACCATGACACACATACATTGTCGTGCGCGGCCCTTTCTGTGCATATGTCTACCAGCTACTAGAGTTGCTGAGCTCATGCTGCTCACCATAGAGACTCGGGCAAAGTGTCTACGCATTGGTTGGCAGGCGCGAGGCAATACATGGGGCGTGCGCATTACTAGTTGCCCTTTTACCCGTGTAAAACAAAGCGCGCAAGCTCAGGTATAGGTGCATTATTTCGCGGTGGTTTACTACGCGTTGTCACATGCTATTACGCACGCTGTGGGCGTGTCATTACGCGGTTAAGCGTAAAAAAGCGCGGTCGCACCCCCAAGTATTTACACTCTAGAGCGCTGTTCCGCACAAACATGGGTGTGTCAGTACACGGTTAGGCGTGAACGAGCGTTTGCTTCGCGAAATACCGCGAGCGTAGAGTGTACGCCGGCGATTGCGGGTGGAGCACGCCGTCGCGTGTTACTACGCGCGAACGCTAAGTCTGTGTAAATTGGCGTGACTTCCCGCTTGAGTGCGTAAAAGCGCGATCTTTCGCAACCATTGCTGTCTGTGCACGCTTTTACACATTATTTTACACGGGTAGCGCTTTCCACTGTACAAGTCCTATTCAAAGAAAGGGAAACCAAGTACTCTCCCATCATGATAATATTGTTTCCAGGCACAATTAAAAAGTGACTCTCTAAAAATGCGCACACACCACCTCAATGTTAATTTTTTGGACTTCCACTCTCTAAAGTTGTATATAATATAAACTGAGCACTCCTCTACCATGGAAATTTTTCCAGGCACCCATTTAGCCCTCTGATAATTTGTATTGCAAATACGTAGGAGTCAAAAAAAACGTTTCCAATTTCGTTTCCGTTCCGTTTGGTGACCTTCCGTTCCCTACTGAAACGCCATTCATTTACCGTCGGAATTTGTTCCGTTCCGTTTAGAATCGTTGCCGTACATGCGTTCCGCGTGAGGGCCCGTCTTCGCGAGATGCAAACGCCTCACTGTTAAAGAATTTCTTCTAGGGCTCTGCGTGGGTAACTGCTGCCCTTCTCGTTGTCTCTACAGGCGTTTGCAACCCTTGTTGGGTGCTGGCTCCCCCCGCTACCGCAGTCTCTCCCTCCCACCCCGGGCGGTTGCGAGGGCGTGTCAAACAGACTCGGAATTCCAGCGACCTGAAATCGTCAAACTGTACGGAAAAGACATAGGAAAGCGAACGGAACCGAGTGAATAGTGAACTAGCAAACGGAACCAAACCCGAAACGAAACTTGGAACGTTTGTTTTTACTTCCTATGTACTGTGCTTGCCTACGGATGGTCAGCGTGGTCGCATGCCGAACCACACCGCGCGTACGAACCCGAGACCGGATCCACCCCGCCAGTCCTACACAATAAACAGACGGCTGGACTGGCTGCCTTCCCCTGCCCGCGTATAGTACGCATCTAATGAGCGACTTAATCGAATAACTCTGCACTGCTGGAATCTGGCCTCCCCTGCTGCTCCAGAGATGACACCCTGGATTTCTAACACTCGAACAGAAAGAATCTGGGCCCTCGATATCCGCCCGCCTACACAGGATATTAAAACCGTGCAACAAAAAGTCCACGCGCGGAGACGAAAATGCGTTAAATTTCCACCGCATGCAAGGCATATTACCGGCGACGCATGAAGGACTGTTTTACCTATGCTAAAGTCAATGAATCGGCCACCACTACTTTATCCTGGGACATGACACCCTGTATGTACCTAGGGAAGACATTTACGTTCTTAGCAACAAGGGCATCTCCTATTTATGATGTTCGAATCCACCAGTCAAAAATAAGGTCGTAAATGGCTTATAGCCTACATACGGGTACGATACACTATTCTTTCTCCATGTGCAACAACACTTCTTCCATGAACCTGCCTTATCACGAATTAATAGCGAACACAATTATCATCTTGGATATTGCACTAAACCATAAGCCTCAAATGCTCTTTCTCAGCATTACTTGAGCTCACTCAACATACATCAGACTACGAAACGTCAAAGTGTAGTCAACAGCAGAATGTATGTGAGAAAAACCGCGTTTGGTCTTTGCACCACACTCTCTGTACAAGTCCTAGAGGAAAAATTCAATTGCCTGCAAAAGTCTCCTGCACACGTCATTTTTCATGTGCAACAAGAAATGTCAAAGAAAAAATAGCCATTCACCTTGTAAATGCCCGTTTCAACAGAAGAACTAATTCCAGACTTGAAGCACTTGCCTGGTGAATGAAGCCTGAGTATGCCGGCAACCTTAGAGCTATAAGACATACAACACAGTGCATCATACCCCACGAAGTACACGTATACTAGTATGCACATGACACCTGGTTGGTCCTGCCATTATGCCCATCCACACTTGAGCATTTTCAGATGTCTTCGACTTCCTCAGTTTTTGTCAAAAATCAGGTCCGAACATTTGGTCACACCACAACCCCAGTCAGACCCATATGGTCACAAAGAGCATTAATGGCTTAATGATCAGCATAACTCGCGACGGGTCTTCGATCTATTCTAAGAAGTTAGTTTCTCACAACGATCCTCGCCTCCAGCTCTTCTTGCTTGTCGTGTTGTTGTTCGTTGTTTGGTTCAGTTGTAGACTAGACATGCGTATCTCAAACATGACACATTACAAGATATGTGGATATGAAACTTTGCAAACAAAAGCACATCACAGCGTTCGTGCAAGAGCATTCTATAATTCTCATTTCTTAAAGCAAAAACAACAGTGACAATACATGACGATAGGCACAAACAATATGTGCGATAACTAATATCCACCGATGTAAACCTTCGGACACATATACACAACCCCCATCATCAGTAACAACATGCTAACATTACCCAGTTTTGGTAACATCAACAACACCGAACAAACACCACAAGGCAATAAACTGTGATGTTTTGTTCCCTATAAAACCTGTGCGTTATAGGTTGGTCTCTAACAATGAAACTAGGTACAATTACATGGTTTCCCCAATGACTAAAGTTCACTCGCCAAACCGCAAAGTTACAACAGTTTTGTAAGACAACAACAAACAGCCAATCACGCAGATCAAACGTCTAAACTTATAAATGGTGTTGTCGCCCGCCTACCAACAATGCACTTTGTGGACCCAAGACACCACCGGGCCCCAAACGTCGTCCTTTTTTCTCACAATGAAACTTGGTGCACTCTACACCTTTAATGTGTGAAATGTCCGACACCGACACGTCTGACGGCGATAAAAGGCCACTAACGTTTACTTATTTTATGGAGCTTATGCCAACTATACTCTGCACACCGACATGCATTTGAATGCTAGTAAAAAAGGAAAGGAGCACAAGTCAGTAAACAAAAATTCTTCGAAGTAAAAACAAGCGTTAATATAAGTTGATTGCCATATAAAGCTAGGAGGGCAGACAGGGATGCACTCTAGTATTCTTTATTTACAGATGGATTATTGCTACACTCTTTGAACCTGACAAACTAGCTTGGCTCGTCCTCGTAAAATTCTCCTCACACAGCACCGCCCAAGCCTTAGCATCGTGTTCGCCAACCATTACTGTTGTTTAGTGAAGTGGCGAGGACAATGGTGAACAACTGATTCTGTAAGGCTGTATTAAGTGGCCGAGATGAAAACCATGCAGCATTGCTAAAAACTGGTTAGGTCAGCAAATGATAGACTCACACAATCGCAGCTCCCACCTACTGAAAACCGAGCAGATGGTACCTTCTAATTGGCTTATAAATAAATCATAGCTGTGCATCATACAAGCAGCACACTCATACACCTTGCGACAATCGAGGGCTTGTTTGGACAGGAAAGTGTTTGCAACGAGAAAGTGATGTCATTCAAAGTATGTAGCCATCATCCATCATACCTACTGGCATATATTTCCAAACTTTGTTGTTCTCAATTCGAAAGATTTTTAATTTACTTTTCAGTACTATAACAGATAATACCACACAACAACAAACTAAACAACTGAACTAATACTCTGTACATGGCACACCAACAGAGCTCGTGTGTTAACTTCAAGCTTCGCATTTGCTGTCCTTCTAGCTTGAGATCATCTATTGACCGGTTGAGAAAACGCGATTGCTGACCAGAGCTACAATAAGGAAACGTACTCCATAGTCTAGCTTCTCCACATCCCCACCCTTCGTGTCTGCATGCCATGTGGGAGAGGAAAGTAGGTGTCCTGGTATACCTATATTATAGGCAGCGCACACATATTAATAACATACGTATTATATATTGTGTTGTGTGTTGCTTTACAACCTTCAACCGCGGATCCCTCGATCTAGGATGCGACAAGAAGTTGTGTGAATTAAGAACAACTAGCTAGCTTCGTCTAGCCTGGTCCGCAAAGCTGATCCCCCAAGTCACAGACAATCCGAATCATTGTGGATTAAGCTACCCTTACAGCGTAGTCCTGTAATACCCTCAGCGCGCACATACGAGTCCGTTTCGCGCCGTTCAAACAAGGACTCGCTTTATCGTCCTTCTTAATCACATCATCACCATTTTTTTTAAATAGCCACTAATACGCTAGTAGAAACATTCCTGGAGCCTAACAACTGCTTTGAAGTCTTGTATGTTGTACCAAAAGAAACGCGTAAAACTTTCATTCTAAATTCGCCTACCAATTACAATACATCAACACAATTGAGCTACTAATTTGCTCTCCATGCACTATCAATTGGCACAAAGTGGTTTCCCGGACTCCTCGTAAGAGGTATAGACATTTACAAGACCCGCTTCCTCCCATCTTCTTCACCACACTGAGCACAAAGCAAGGCCGTTGGAAACCAGACTCATAGTCAATCCTAGGCAATTTTGTCGTGCTTTGTGTTCAATACGTTCAGCATTACTTTACTGACCTTGTGGTTGTGCACATACTTCAAAACACGAATCAAGAGCAGTGCAGTAACAAGCTGAAAAATCCTCAACTCATGTTGAATCATGAGAATACGGATGAATCTGGCTGGCATGGCATCCAATACCCTAAAAAGCACTGCTAGTTCAACACATTGTAAAAAATGACTCCACTTCACAGTACGCCATTAAGTTATTACAAACACCTTTGGAGTTTATATACACCTGCAGTTAGGAAAGCAGGGCCGATCAAACCGAAAAAACATTACAGTCCTAAACTTGGAATGGCTCAAGCCACAAGACTTTATGGCCCTATTTCTATCCGCTGCGACCTGATTATCTTTATTGTGCACTTTTCTCGGGGGCGAATAGTTTTAAACAGCCACACGCTAGCGCTACAATATGTGCAACATGTGCGATCACGCCAGTATAAAGCCCTCTTACAATAAGTTATTTGCATAGAGACATGTAACTGTTTTGGCTGCAATTGGAAGCTAGTGTTAACCCTTCCCTTTACCCATTTTGCTCACATCCACTAGCTTCGTTCTGTTATCAATCAAGAACCCCATTATCAAACCCTTAGCCCACATCGGCTTTGTGTACAGAGGTTCCCTTCATCTACCAAATAATCAGTCGATCTGTGCGTGAACCTGTCACAAGCGCTAAATAATATACATATAGTCTACAGACTGTTACACATGGAGTTTATGCCCAACTACTCCTAGTGTAATGTTTGGGGGGGGGGGGGCTAATCACTTTTTTCCCGTAGGTACAACACTTATACTCATCAGCAGTGTATACTCACAGCTCAACGCAATCAGTGAGTAAATATTGCACAAAGAGCGTCTAAGAGGGAATTGCTGTCTGATATGCCCGATGACCCGCGTTAATGCTATGACTCCCTAAACCCATGAAAAAACAAGATCGGTTTCCTTTTGTCCGAAACAATCATCAATGGTAATCCAGGTGGAGCTCCCTGCCTCGCACAACTCGAAGGCCTTAACAAGCTCCACGTGTTTTGTTCATCTTTCACACAAATCTTGCTTTCTCCTGGCTTGCTTCACGGTCTTGCTAGTATTACCCACGCTTACTCCCTACAAAACTGATCCAAACGGCCAACACTCTCTATAACACCCGAATGTCTTATCGGCTCCTAAACAGGTGTCCATCCATCAACGCGATCCGCGTCAATGACGTTTTATAATATACCCCATAACCAGGGGGCCTCACTCCCCTTTATACGATTTCCTTCTTCATTCTATGAATTTTACCCGCTTTCTCCGTTCTATCTGGTTAAACCGCTCACCTCCATCATTTCCTACGAATCCGCCCCGTCCTATCGGCTGAATGGTGGCTTGCACATCCAATGTAACCGATGTTGCTCGTGGTTGCTCTTCTCGACCTATTTAGTGACCAGAACGTAGGTGTCGCATTGGAAACGAGAGCTCCGATAGCACTGTTGCCGGCCGCATCATCAAACCACAGTGATGTACTTTTTTTATTGTTAATACGCGTGCTTGTTCTTTCTTTTTCTTTCCATCTTGTCTGTTTTGGGTTTATGCAAAGTTTAATTGCAATCACTGGATACGCAGTCCCCCCGCATAACAACATAGATGGCTGTTGCGACTGTCAGGTGATCTCTCTCAACAACATACA